TATATGGCCATGTGGCTCGTAAAGTAATTTGACATCAGTAATAATATATTTATTTATTTATCTTAATTTCTTCCTTCGAGTACTACTATGCATTTCCTGTATAATTAAAAAATTTCATACAGTCTTATTGGTGGTAAATAATAATTATGACTGAGATTGAAAGCACTTTCGAGAATCTCTTTCAAACTAGCGTCCCTCTAGCGGCGAGTGTAGGAGGTCACGCCAGTATGACAGTAATGGCCGACATCACGTGTCTACTCGTTCGTAACCTGAAAACTGTCGCAAAGTGCTTTCATCCGAGTGACCCGTAAATTAAGAGATATTTCCTTCGTAATCGCGAGAAATAATAGCAACACTTTCACTCGTATCTTGTAAACTTTTTGACTGGGAACGTGTCTGTCAGATTTTATCAGATTTCTAGACAGGTTTAATTGTTCACGTAGAAAAGTAATTACTCGCCGTTACTGTTGTTTCGAAGGTTTCTGTGCTATTTCCCGTTACTTTTACGGTATTTCCGTCGACATTGCCATGCTAATTTCTCTATTTTAAGTATTTTTGTATTCCTTTTCGGTCTTGTGTATTATATTCTTTTCCCTGCCCTTATAATTTTAAAATACCTTTTAAGTATCCATACCATCATCGTCTTTCTTTTACATTTTTTCCTTTTTATGCGATTTCTGTGCTATTTTTGTTGCATTTTTTCACTTATAACAATATCTCCTATAAAAAGATTCGACGGCTTCAAATTGCCTAACATTCGAAACAGGTTTTCTGATACCCAGGTTAGGATTGAATAATAGGTTGCAATGATAATAGGTGTAATGGAATAGTACTCGTGTAGGATCTAATAAAAAAATACAAACCGCAATTTTTCCCTACTCACGACCATGTAAAGTATCGATCAACGCATAGCAAGTACATAATGCACGATCGTATCTTTAGAAAAGATCGTAGATCGCGACCCGAGTCATTGTGACTAACACGACACTGCTCCCTGTACATTACGTAATATTCGTAAGAGTAAGACAACTCAAGAACAAATAGAAAGCCGAGTAGTGGTAAACGTTCTACCCTTTTTCTCCTTTTTCGTCGTTGTTTTAGTTATAAAGCGATAAATGAAGCAAAAGGAACGTTGGTATTATCAATAATATATTGCGATCTCATGCAGTCTATCAAACAAATTATTGTTCATGTAAAATCTTATATTTGGTTAAAAAATAGTTTTGACCACGTTTATTACTACTTGGTATGTTTCATTGAATGTAAATGGAGTTTCCGGTTATTATAGTAAGCACATGGATTGAAACATGGTAATTCCGTTTTACCGTTCAGCCATTAAAATTTTCGCGTAACATTGATATACGAGTTTGATTATTCACCATGGAATTTTAATATACGTACATTTTCACCCGTGATAGAAAGCTCTTGCTTAATTTGCATTTTTAAACTCTCCTGTAAAATATAATCGGACTTTAATTAGGACAGAAGTAAAATCTCCTTTTCGAGAATGTTTCCGGGTTCAGAGCAATGTTATCAACAGTAAATTGATCGTTTAAACAGGTTACTTTATTGCTATGGTTATAAGAGCTGACGACTTAAAAAACTAACGAGAAAGTAATTATAAATTATTCGTCGGTTTTACAAGAATGTGTAAGATATAAAAATATTATCATTATAGTTCTTATATTAAAATTAAAATTTAATAACAGTTATACTACATTCAATTATATACTTTGATCATTTATTTAACAATCAGTATTCTGTTTTTATTTCTACACAGGTTTAAAATGTTTTACCGTGTCACGTATTTTCATTTGAATTTAAAATTAGAGTTTGGAGAGTATTATGGAATAGAAATATTAAATTCCGCAATTCACGTGAAAAAGTCACATAAGTAAGGAAATGCCTCGTTTTCTTTTCTCCTTTTTGTTTTCAATATACTACGGAATTCTTACGAAGAATGCATATAGAACGTGTTAATACATAGTACATAACCACTTTGTAATTTTAATCGCCTCTCCTTCTTTAAAATGCCAAAGCATTTGCAATAGCATCACTTCGCTATGAGATTAATTATATATGCATTTACGTTCCCGCAAGAATGCAATTTATAGTACAATAAAATTTTCTTCGTGACGTTTTACTTTTGGAGGAAATAAATTTTCCGGGAATGAATTAATTTCCATTTCAAAACACCATCTTCACAATTCATTCTATGTTCGTTTCATCTATTATCAACAGTACTGATTTATCGTACAAAATTTATCATTTACAACATTTATCTCTTCATCTCATTCGTCTCTAATAAAAATGAAAAAAGAAAAAAATATATAATAAAACATAGAATATTCTTATTATGTATGGTACTGAAAATTTGGAACATGTAGGAAGGTACCTTTGTATTAATTAGGATACAAAAATTTGTGAAAATTGATAAATGCTGTACCGCATGTCATTTATTGTGAGACATCCTTTATTCTCTTCCATCATATATCTACTGTTAACTAACTTCGTTAGTATTCGATAATTTCATAACCAAGCCTCTTAATTTCGTCAATTTCAATAACATTTTACGAGATCACTCGTAGAGCTCATCTAATTTTAACTATAAACCAAAATTAGTATTACGTATCTAACTTTTAAATAAGCATAGAGAAATAAGATCATACGTAACAAGCAGTGTCAGGATAAAATAAGAGAAACAAATACACATAAGTTAAATTGATATCGATTCTGTTGTATACCTTTCCATGTTTCTTTATTTTTCCATAAATATCCATAAATATCACGTATTTTCATTGCACATATCAAGTCACTATATCTAGCACCGGTTATTATAATAAAACCTTGTTTCCATCGAATTAATAACAAGCTGCTTTCCAATCTAACCTCCACTTTGTCAATCCAATCTCCCACCTCGTTTATTGGTCTGTCCTAATTCATCACAGATCATTCATTTTTGGACAGTGGCGACGCGGTACGGTCATCTTACCACTTAAAGTAATCTCGTCAGTGTTTCGCGGTTTTTACGATGCAACGATCGAAAGTCTCCGTTTTGACACGCGACGTGGGCGTTAATTCGATGCGATTCAACTTTCCTTCCGGGATCGTCGTCTGTCCTATTCGCGTTAAATATTGCGTCTCTCGTGTCTTTGTCCCGTTCGTGGGTTTAGTCGCAGGCATGCGTAAACCCATCGTACAGGTTAGTCGTTGTCTCTTGTCATTTCCTTTCTTCCTCTGTTCTCTCTTTTTTCTTTGTTTATTCTCTTTCCTCTTTCGCTCCTCTTTCTTCTTCGAGAGTGTTGCGCAGCGGGCGCGGCGAAAATGATGTAACTGCGCATAGATTTCTTCATCGCCGCTCGCGACTCGCGGTAATTACATTTCCACCGTGAGAGATATCAGTTTCTGGCCAGCGAGCAAATTGTTGCTGCTCGCTCGGCCCTCGTTAGCGCAATATTCTAACAACGATGTTGCATCGACCCGTGTATACGATATCATGCTGCTAGCGCTATCTCGAGCAGATCTTTAGAACAAAGTTAAACCAGTTTCGTTGACAGGTCTTGTTCTTGATTTAGAGAGAAAGATTTGATGAATTGTTTCAGCGATTATTTAATACGAAAAATTGTGGTTGCGTTTATGGTACTGCAATAATTGGCATTGGATTGAGGTTACAATTCGAAATGAATAGAATTTGATGTTTGGAATATCGTAAGATATTATACCATGTTTTAACACGCATAATTTAACACGCTGGGTTATTTTTGAAATAGGTTAGTTGGACTTTAATTTAATTTCTCTATGACATAAAGGCTTGATATGTGTTATTTTCATTTTGTAAATATAATATTAAGTATTATATTGAGTTTCATTTCAGCGAGTGCTTACAACTTTCGAAAGAAAATAATATGGTACAAAAATAATCCATTTATAGAATAGACTGATTTTGTAATTTGGAAGTACATAATGGAAGACAGAAGCATAAAATGTATATGGAAGGATGTTCTAAAAATTAAATTAGTAAGTTAATATATAAATCTGCAACATAAAATTATGGAAACAATTTTTTCTATTTGCCGTTAATGTTCGTAGATATAACGGTCAAACAGGCTCATTAATTGCAAGTCAGCTGAAAGATGGCAGCATGTGCAATAATTTTCCAGATGAAATTTCATTTCGAAAAACTTGTAAAATATATTAATACAACTTTATTGAATATTCCATAATTATTAATACAACTTATTAGTAGACAATTAAATATATAAAGTAGTAATTTTTAACTGTTCTAGAAACATGCATTAGGCACAAATTATATATTACAATACGTGGAATCGTATCACCAATCAATATCGTATGAATCATATTTTTTTTATGCTGCATCCTGATAATTCTTTTGATCCAAAGCTGAACTTCTGATAAAGCTGAGCTTATGATAAAATAATTTCATTTTCTTAAATAAAAAATTCATAAAAATGTTTATAACTCGGTATCAGAAAAGAATTCGTTACATAGACTTGATTGCTTATTACTCGATTGCTTTATTATGTAAATTCCACGTGTAATCTCGGCCAATCAAAAGAATTACAGCATATAATGCTCATTATACAAACAAAAAACTGACTTTGCTTTTATCTGTATCATTTTCAGTGAATCCCCTGGCAATTTATATGCTAATGGAATCCGTAATGTCAATCGAAAACCGTTCCCGTTTATTATTCGAAATATCCGTTCCTTGATAGCTTAAAATATAAACGTGTCATTTACATGAGATGTTTACATTTTTTCCTATCCAAAAATAATTTATAAATAGATAAGAACAAAAATATGCATAGTTAATAATAATTCAAATGATATAAGTACTAAAACAATATTTTAATTACATTATTATCGCATTTCAACACAATTAACATCAAAATGTTTGCAATAAAATATTCGCTTATTATTCTTGACAAAGAATCTGTCGATTCATTCATTCATAAAGGATTTTTCTTTTCGTGTTTCAGCGATGTGACGCAGCCCATCAGGAATATTTTCACGCAAAATGATTCGTGCCCTTGTCCTTCTGTGCATGGCCGTTCTACCTCTCGTACGATGCCACAAGGTAAGATCATGTCAAGTACCATCGGGATCGGCAAGGACGTCGTTATTCCGTGCAGACGCTTCCTTAAAACAAAGAACACGTGTAACATGGTCGTTGTCGGTGGAGTTGACTCGAAATGACAAGATATTCGCGGAATCAGACGACGTTAGTTGTAGATTCGACGCTGATTGCGAAGCAAATTCACGCTGTGTAAACACTGACTTCCGTTTGTTGCCACATTGGTGAGTAAAAAGAAGGTAATCGTGATCGTACGTCTTTTTGGTATTTTTATAACATTATTCAGGTAGATAAAGGAAAATAATATAAGGTACAAGGAGTATATAAGTACACACAGTTGCAGTAATCCATAGGGTATACTTACCTTATATCTCTGATTTCTCACATTCCTTGTAATTTTATTGTGTACCAAAAATCAGTATTAAAGATACTATTCTTTGGCCAAGGATTGACCACCCATTTCATGGAATAATAAATATGTGTTACAGTACTACAAACAAAGGAAACGTAACGTAAAAGAAAAATTTCTTATATTAAATATCACGTGAAAACGTATTCACAATATAATCGTACGATAAACTTTGTCCAGTGTACTACATAGACAGATAATAATAGAATAATAAATAATCCTTATCGATAACAAGCGAAGCGCAAAGGAAGCGTTAAGCATCGATGTGCCATCGATAACACTGACGATGACAAACGATATGAATCATTGGTGTTTCTGAAATCATCATTCCCGACTTCGATAAACATCGATGAACTTATTTTGCATTTAAAACCAGACGATCACGAAACACTTGCGCAAACAGTCTCAACTTATTCGTGAAATAGAGCATGAAATCTTTCATTTCTCAAAGGTTAATTCGCAAGCGATTGATTTTTATCAGTTTTCCCTTTGTTTAAGAATGATTTTAGAAACAGAAGTTTGGCAGATAATTAAACAGGCGAGCATATATTATGCAAACAACTTATGCGAATATCGCTTTTTCTTGATTTCGCACAATGGGAAATTAAAAGTAAGTCAAGTATCGTGAAAGAATGCGAGCAAGAGGATAATAAGGACAATGGCCACGATAAACGTCATCAGGAAAGTAACGTGGGAAGAGAAAGGAATAAATTGTACGCTGAACCCTGTAATCTAACAAGTCGCGTTTTCAATATCGTTCGAGTGCATCGTATCGCACAAGAGATGATTATTCTGACCCATTGATCAAGAAACGATTGAATTTTGTGCCTCAAGGACGAAAATGAAATTGCACGGTCATTGTCGCATTATGTTGGATGAGCCAGCGCAAATCCTTTTCCCTTGATCTTTTAAAGTATAATTAAAAATATGTGTTATGGAATTTTATAGTTCAAATTATATTAGAGAAAATGTGAAATTGATGGAATGGATGATGATTCATAACTTTTGCATAACGTTTGTTAATATTGGATATAATACATGAAAAGAGAAATATGATGATATAATAAAAATAAATATAGTAAAGGAATATAAGTTAATAATATAGATACAAAATATAATATATCACATAAAAATTTGCATTACAACCGCAAATTTAATTTAATAAAAACTAATACAAAAAATTGAAAAAATATTCTTTAAATATTATCTTGGATTTTAGGATATCAACCAGGAAAATATGTGGAGAAAATGAAAGAAAAACACCCATGTTCAGGTTGAAGTTTATCAGAACCACGAAGAAAGGGGAAGGTTGGTGTTATACGACGTTCGCAATTTCTAAGATAAAGCTTGGTACTCGTTCAGTTTGACAAAGATTGATTATATCAGTGGTTTACACGAAGCTTATCGTTCCATTAACATTTACTTAAAAGTATCAGACTCATACTATCATGTCCTAACTGGCAACGCATTTCCATATGTTCTCTTTCTTTGAAATACACGTATCTTCTTTAGAAAAAGTTTTCTGTCCTCGTTCATAGAATCAGTCGTGTCCTATTTAGACGCGGTTCGCTTAAAAAACGAGTCAGCAAATTGCTAAATGTATGTTGATATAGAAAACGACTGGTTAACACATGGCTGATTTATTGCTTTCACGGTAGCAAAGGAGCGTCATAAATCGTAACCCACGGAAGCACCTGTAGCACTTCCTATACAATTTACGAAATTAAAAGCATTATATATAGATTTTTTCCATACATCATTAAAATTAATAGACTTAGACGGAAACTTTTCATTCCGCATAGGCGAAACTTAACTTCAGTCTTCGAAATATTCTTACAAACGCCAAGGCTAACAACATCGACTTGGAACGTTCGAATAATTTTATTCATGAAAAATTTATAACTTTCAAATAACGTTACGTTAACTCAATATTTGAATTCTTGCTTATTACACATCAGTGGAAACATGCACGCGAGAGCTTAGAAGACAATGATCATTCTGTTGCAGGAGAAAGGGATCAATTGGTTGAAAATTATAATTCTTAGAGTATTCTTCACTAACAAATTAACTAAACATTTTGTCATCGTATTGACACTGAAAGCATCATCGACTCGACGACGTCTTAACGAATCAATGCCTGATCCAGGAAGTCAGTGATTCGACTCGGGTTTTGGACTCGACCAGGGAGAATAACCTACGATTCTTTCGACCGATCGTGAAGACAATTACGTTCTATCTACTAAGCGAAGGGATATGAGAGTTAAATAAGTTAAAACTAAGGTGCATGCATCCCATGATGTCAAAAAATGTTCAACGATGGAATATCTAAGCTAAAAGGAAATGTAAGAGAAAGGAGACAAGTTAGAAATTAATACGAAATAAATAAGAAAAAGAATATGAAATGAATGGAATAAATAACAAAAACAGAAAAATCGGAATTAGAGACTGCAAAGACAAAAGTCATTCCAAGAAAAAGAAAGAAATATATACATAACAAAAATATAGATATAATATATGGTACTGACCATTGACCACTGACCTTTGACCGTTGCCCACCCCCTTCATACCACCAACCAGGCCTATTAGGGCAATTTGTCGACTTTTTCATTTTTATTATAAATTTATGGTTTGAGCAATCTGTTATTAACAATTTTAGCTTATTATTGCTAATAAATTTGATCATCTTTTTGGAATATCAAGAGGTCTAGGAAAATTCATGAGTATAATTTCCAAAAACCTAGACAGCTCACAGGTATTAGTACTATCTGAGAAATTTCGAAGGTTCCATAGATATTGATAATGTTTAAGAATTTCTGAAGAATTTTAAGGAATTCCAAAGACTTCTAAAGACTCGTAAATATCAGGTTTACCAAGAATTTGTACCGCAAAATCGGGTCTGTATTCAAATCTCCTCAAACTATAATGCTGTTTCATAAAACGCAATATCCTAATTTGTTTCTCGAATTTCGTAATATCAGTATTACATTTACCGAAGTCGTGACCTTCCATGTCTCGTAAATCCTTCATATCAAATCTTATGATCACGAAAGTCCAGGTATTGAATCTTATGGTTGATTGTCTAGTTTTAAGAACTCTGAATGCTAAGAAATTTTATGGCTTTATGAGTTCTAAAGGTTTAAAGCTTCAAATTAATATCTCTCCATGCTTCTATACATCCATGACAGACACGTAGTCTGACGAATACGTCTAACGACTACTGTCCTTGGCTGAGTAACGCATTATCTGTAGTCTTCTGCGAATTTAAGACCGTTTCTAATTGATCCCACGATTTAAGAGACATCTTCATTGTATGACGTGAGTCTGACACCTTTATCATCCTGTTCTACGTGCTTGAGAAATTCTATATCGGATTTTTGCGCGTCTGGAATCGTCTTTATCACGCCGTACATATTCAACGTCATTCTTATCAATCTCTGCAAACCCAGGCTCGCTTGTACTATCAACTCACGTGGCATCTGTCTCATTACTGATTTATTTGTTATATCATTATCAAATCCTCCTTAATTCTGTCAATTTACCCTGATTGCTTCCACGATGCACCACCTGTTCTAGTGACTCAGCTTTTACTGTTATTGACTTCTCAGCGAGAAGTAATCCCTCGGCAAGATATCTTCAGCAAGATATCAGAACGTCCTCCCATAAATGCTCGATTTTCCTCTCGAGTTTCAACCAGTTTACCCTGTTCCTAACAGTTTCTAGGATGTCGTAAATTAGGCTGTCTTTTAAATCTTCTACGGTTGCAAGATTTACGATAGCCGGGGCAATAAAATTGATCAAAAACTTGGTTCCACGTGCCACGTTTCCCCGTGTTTCCCATATCTAGCATTTTTATCAAATGCACAGCACATGCCACCAGAATCGCTCCGACATCCGACGATCGTTAAATTTCTTGCACGACCGCGCCTTTCAAAATCACGTTTTGCAATGAAATGAGAAAAATCGAGCGTCAGAGGCTCGTTTATCCGGCGATCGGCCATGGTAAATGCAAGCTGCTTCATGACTCTGCAGCTGTGTTCGCCATTCAACAGGGAAATCGTTGCTTTGGGCCCGTAGTACGCATACAATTAGGAGAACGACACGGTGATACCGATCTTTTTCGAGTAAATCCGGTTCTTTAACTGCCAATGCTGTTGCTCTGCACGGTTCCACGATTCAGCGGACTGTCGTTAAAATCATGGGAATTTGTAACGAGACAAATTAAATGCCACCATTTGAGAAAACTATGAGCAATTAAGTCACGACCACGCTCGATTTTCCTTGAGTCGAAAAAGGGAATGTTTGGCTGCCGGAGTACCTGTGAATCGGGATGTTAACACGCTCGGAGTCGGTAATTTCAAGGGAAATTCCGAAGTAGAAGGATAAGGAGTACTGCTATTAAGATTACCATAAGAGTTAGAAATTTTATATCTCTAAATGTGAAAATTTGATATATTGCTTCGAAGACTCTTTTCTTTAAAATAACGCACTTTGTACCGCTTATTGGTATTACTTGCAATAAATCTGAGAAACTTTTCTGTCGTCAGACTTGTCGATAATTGATCTTCCTGACATCGTTTAGTCATGGCAAAGTATGCTAATATGTCAATGGTTGTTAATGTGTTAATATGTTTCTCGAAAGGACTTTGCAGTATTAGCTGTAGGAATATTGAAACGTTGCAATGGAAGATTGATTCTATTTAAAACTAAGTTAGTATCGCGATATTAAATTCTCAACAGAAATTTACAAAATATTAAATACCGCGATATTTAAAAATTTTAATAATAGAAGAATGGAAATATAGTAGGAGGTTCGTCTTTGTGGTATCAGAAGATACTCCTTTTCAATGTCAGGAAAATTTCAATTCTTAAAAGAATCATAGATTACTGTGTTAGTTACGAGTTACATGAAATCAAAATTTTCACAAAACGAATAAAATCCCAAACACAAATAATTCTTCCACAAAGTTCTTCATCATAGGCCATCGACAAACTTAACACCAGAGCTATCAAAATGACTTTGTTTTAGATATTTTATTTGCACAGTTTCCGGGAATATGTAAATCACTTTTGACAAAATATAATCAGTTAGTTATTCATCTTCCTCGTACTGCTCCAATTATCTTCATTTGTGTACAATATATGTAGGTACTGATTATAGGTTGGTAGTTCTAGTGTTAAGGATCTCAGAGTGCTTCGTTTAATCAATTTCCAATTTAAGACTCTCTCTATTAAATATTTTTGCACTCGTTCGGTTATTCCAACTTAATTACACGTTTACCATCGATTCTATTAACCGTTGTCGAGATCATGATCCTCATCTTAAGTTCAACGACCTGCGTATAGTCAGAAGTTGCGGGCCATCTATGGAATTCTATGGAGGCGATTCAGAGAGCGCGATTATGTTCCAGGAAAGGTGCAATTAGATTAAAGAGTAATGGTACCATTTTTGCATTCGGACCGGTAATGATCGCAAATAGGACAGCGCACGCGATCGAATTTCCTAACGTAATGAGTGAAAGTGATCGACCTTAGGAGCCGTGAGGCAGCGTGATAGTTAATTGCAGCTCGATTTCTGTGACACGGTGTACGTAGCTAGGTGCTCTTAAATGGTAGAAGCAGACCTTGGACCGGGATTGGAAAAGCTTTTAAATGCACAAGCATCGATTAACGTGCTCGAACTGTACCGGGTGTATGTACCTCGACTACCGTTGATCATTGTCCTCGCTAACGCTGCCAATTAGCCATGCACTTGGCAGGCGACAAAGCAGCTTGTAATGAAACTGTTCTAGCGCGATTTGCTAATGCGTGCAATTGCAGTGAGAACGGGAAAAAGGGGCGTCGCTTGGTCGTCTTATGGAAATAATTAACCTTTATAAGGAACGATGACGCCAGGTGTGATTGTCTCGAAGTGACGCAAAGATGTGCTTGATTTCTCGGTGAAAAGGAAATGGGCGGATTTAACCTCGAAATGGAAATTTCAATTCGAAATTGAAATAAAGAAATATGACACTTGGAAATTTTTTAATCAAAGGATTATAGAATTTTTAATCCTAGGAATTCAAGAATTTGTGAATAAAAATTTTAGAAATTGGAAAATTGGAAAATTCCTAGATCTAATAATCGAAAAACTTTTTGAATTAGAAAATCGAAGATTCGCAAATAAAAATTCGAAAATTCCTAAATTAAGAGAGACATATAGATATTGAAAAAAATTGAGAAATTGAAAAATTTGAAAATTTAAATTTTAAATACTCCAATAATCTACTATTGTATTATCCCAATATCCCCCTATTTTAGTACCTAATTTTAGTGTAATAAAATCCTATCTAATTCCACTTTGTGACAATTTGCTACTAAATTGTTGCTGTAAAATTTTATAATTGTCTTGTACAGAAGCTGCCATCGATGCTCCAGAAATTAAATTTGTTAATTTCATCGAAAATATGAAAGTCACATACTTAAAGCCACCCTAAGGCATAAATTGGGAGTAGCATTTCATTATAATTAAATGTAAAATATCGGGGAGGTAATTACAGTAATTGATGTGGAAGTTTGCATAGTTTAAAACCCGCTGGTAATAAAAGATCGAAAGTGACGGATTATTTTTGTTTTCTCGCGTTATTATTACGCGTTATAGTTCCCACGATACTACCACGATTGCTTTTCCTCCGATATTTCAACATGCCGCACTTGGCCGGGAACAATAGTCGACGTGAAAATATCCCAATAACTCGAAGAAAGCGAAGTTAGTAGCATCGAATCGACGCCCATCGCGAAATTTGGAAAATTACATAATGACTGATAATAAGAAAATTACTTTGACCAGCAGACAACACTATAGATTGCAAAATGACATTTCCGCGTTCAATATATAATTCTCTGAATGGTAACTTGCAGCTGAGCAAACGAATATTTGTTACATACTCTGTATCTCCTAAATGTAACCAAGCTTACATTAATCTTAATTATTTTGACGATTAACTTATATTATTTATATATTATAATTTTCCACTGTTTTCTATCATTTTCTATTATTTCCTATTATTACCTATACCACCTAGTTAAACATGTACAAATATACAAAAGTTGGACGAAAAAATATTTAACAAAGAAAGGAAAAAAGTAATCCCATTTTACATCTATTTTAAAATTTCTTCAAGTATAATTTTAATCGTTCGATTTTAATTTTTCATCCATCTATATGTGCATGAAAATGACTATAGCATTTCAAAAAAATTCCTATTTTAATCTGTGAATCTTCGCGATTAAAATTCTTCGAGCAGCTGTACACATCGATCCTTTAATTAACCTTTCATCGCGAGAATATCCACGTGTTTTCCTCTCACGCACGGGAACATCTCATGAGGATGAAGTATGAAGTGCAAAACATATGCTTACGATGATTTTTTTGTCTGTTGCAGATCCACGAACACATGACAAGGGAAGAGATGTTATCGGTGTTTCACACGGGACACGAGTCTGGTAATCACAGAGAAAAGAAAGAAAAAGAAACAGAAATATGACCAGCTGACAGTAGACAGCTTCCTCTTCAGTCGATTTAAAAATCCATTCGTGTTCATTGCACGCTGATAGCCTTGCAACTAAACGGAATCCATTAAAACCAATTTATTTGCTATTGTACCCCGTCATTAATTCCGCCACGATGAAAATTGCGGAACCGAAACGTTATCGCGTGGACAGAAATTATACTCTGTTATTTTATTTCGAAGAAATGGTATTATTTCATAGTTCGTGGTGATAGGTCCCATAATAGGATTCGTTTTCACTGGGAAAAAGGAGGGAAAAAGTGGATCTCTTTGTTTTCCACTCTCTATGCACTTTAAAATACACGACGGTAATCATTCAACGCTGTTCGCATTCCTTTCGTTTCGCGATTGAAAAGAAAGAAATTTACCACCGATTGTTTCGTGGAATCATTTGAATTATCTTTAGGTTACCGGTTTCTTGCGAACGAAGCCGAGTGAACTGCATTACGATTCGCGATACTCCTTGCTTTTAAAGTAGATGCAAATAGACGTACGTAATACTCTCTACTAATGATGTAAGTTAATTACCAGACGCGATTAGAGTTGTGAAAGTATCGAAACTGATCGTTTAGGTTGTTGTTTTTGTACCTGTTGCGAGCCTGAAGTTGATCTTTCGAAAGGAATGTGTTTAGATTTTTAATAAACGTGTTTTGTCGTTTTATCCGATAACGGTGTAATATTTCTTATATTTCTTGCATCTTTCGAGTGATATTTTATTATTATTAATCCAAGATTCGCGAAATTTAAATTGTCAATTTTATCGGAAAGTAGAAATTCTAATTATTCGAATTAAAAATTGAACGAGGTATATATATGATTTTTAGAAAGGGTGACGAATTATCATAAAGATTTTTATTTTATAGAATTTTTTATTCGAGAAATATTAATTATACAGGTGCTAATAGCAAGTGCTGTAATTGATAGTGTTAATTAATATCGTAATCAAACTAATACTTATTGTTAAACTTCCAGACTGGAAAACTTTACATTAACTCAGGAATTTAATTGAAAATATAATTTAGTATATATATCTTATAACTTCCTCGATATTAATTATATAAATTCTAATAGCAAAAACTCCAATTAATCTTGTTATATCGTATTACTAAAATTATACTTTAGGATTATTATTCATGCTCGAAAAGCTTACGTTAGTTCAGGAATTTATTTCAAAATGTAATTTCTGTTAATATCTTCCTCGATATTATTTGGACCCTAAATTAATCGTGTTATGGTGTTTTAAAGTAATACATCGTGATTATTATTCATAGAAAATACTACTCATTGCCTGTCAAATTTATTCGAAAATTCAGAAAGTTCTTTTCTACTACATCTGTTTAGCACCAATCTAATATTATTGAATACTAAACTTTGTTAGAGCAGACTCTGTCAGAGTATGAAAGAGACAGAGAATGGCCGATAAAGAAGACGGTTCGCGTTTAAATTCTAGTACCAACGTACGAGGTTGTGCCTGTGTTGCATTCGGTGCACAAGAGGAGTACAGAGAAGCCGGAGATACACCTGAAGGCCTTCGGGAAGGACATCAGTCTGTCGTTGAAATTGACAGAGGGGTTGTTGACAGCCAACCACTTGCCTATGTGGACTGTCACGAAGAATTCGTCGCAACCTGATGGCCTCCGCTATGAGAAGGTGACGGATGTAAGTTTCCAACATATCTTTATAAATACCTTTCATCCTTCCTCATTTTTCTTTCATTTTTCGATGAATTTTTATTCTTGCTTATCGCTTATCGTGATGTTTCAGGTAAACGTCAGTTCAGATTTTCTTCAATTAATTACAGCACACAACTATACTCGAGATTAAATTTCCGTCATGAAAAGGAGAATATATATGATATAAAGTATCAAAAATTTCTTGATACTACTATTCAATTTTCGAAATTTCACGAATTCTTATTTTAATTTCCCATTCTTCCAAGACCAACAGTTCTGAAATTAATTCATGAATTTTTTATATATTTTTTTTCTCCATTTAACTTATTATCATTTTATTATTTTATCATACTACTCGACACCTCGTTCGATGAGACATGTAGAAGCAAAAACGAGACTCTTCACAGTGACGCGACTCCGACACAAGAGTTTGCATTATTCCTTTAAATGGTCGAAATCGCATAAAATCGCCTACATATGGCCAGCTGCGATCACGTTGTAATTGTTCTTTCCGTTTCAGGCCGACATAGATATCGGTGACATCTATCAAGACACGACGAACATGGCGTCCATTCTGCTGCAGCGGGACGCGAATGGGAAAGTGCTCGTTGTAAGAGGCCATTCTTTCTTAATGTACCTTTCGACATTCTCGCCATTATTGCGGCTCGTCTTTCGTCAACCGTCGAGGCTCAGTTTGGGATAGTATCATATTAGAAGCTTATAATTATCGTGATTCATTGGGACAATTAGCTACACCGCGATTAGGGAGGTCATTCCTTGTTCTTGCTACGTTTGGCAATTCTTGGAACAAGAGGGTGGAAATTTCACATCGAGATTAGACAAAATTTTATTACAAAATGTTAGGAATCATTTTATGCAGTGAATAGTAGTTAATACGAATTCGATGGTTTGACGAAAGACGAGTAAACAATGGTGATGGGAAATTGTGAGTAGAAGATAATTTTAGGGATAAGTAGAAATGGGCATATTAGAGATACTATTTTAGTATGCTGTTAGTTCTATGTTGACTGTAAAAATTGAATTAATTTTGTGGCTCATCATATTGATATACTGGTCTATTGGTACTAGAGAAGCTTGGTTTGATTACAACAGTTTGTTTAAAATAAGCACAATGCCTTATAGAAAGTTAGCGATTCGTATCAATAAATGTGTATTCATGGAAGGTCTTTTATACTTCTAGTTTAGAACTATTTATATTTTGACTGCCTTACATATACTAGAGATGAAAAATACAAAATTGTCAGGGGTACTTGGACTGAATTCATAGTCAGAAAATTTCATATTCTAATTTCTAAACATAGCTTAATATCCTCGGGTCTTCTTCATCCATGTAGACTCTATAAAACATTCTTATAAAATAAGATAAATAAATAGAAAATATTTCTTTTCATCAGATACAAATCAGGAATTACCTGCATCTCAAAAACATCTCTATAAATATGAATATAGCCGACAGTAACTGATATGGTTATGCGTAAACAAAACCAGTAAAAGCTGGTCAAACTGCAGGAAGAAGTTGCACAAAATGACGTCTCGTGATCGTTTTGACATTTCCATTTTGAGCACCATCAATCGTGCAAAGCGCATTGCGAGGATTCCGCTTGAGCAAAGCCAAGGAAAAAAGCAATAAAATTCTCCATATCGGTTCCACCTTTCAGAATAGTGGCCAACTCGAGGCAGAAGGCAGCTGTTCTCAATGATTGCGCGTCCAACCAACCGAGACTTAATTTCACTTAGGAAGTTCGATCTCTCATGAAGCCGTAAAGAAAACCTCGAGGCCGAGCTATTGCCAAAGCTGTTACTTACCCATCGAATTGCTCAAAATCCGTTGACAGAAGCATGAATTACGAGTGAAGGGATATTTCCATCTAAGGATCGACTTACACTACTGGAGTTTAGCTTCTAATCAGATTTTATTGAAGATTCTCCCTTTGGGAAAGATCTGTGTACTCTGTGAGCTTTACGTTGTTTTATTTGTCACATTGTACATTGAGAAGCCAAGACTTAGAGTTGAGGAAGATATATTTTAAACGAGTATAGATAATACGAATTAAGTTCTGAAAGAGTCTACTGTAGAAGTATACAGGTGTGCATTAGGTAGTGGATCAAATATATATGCTCTGTTATGTCAGATTTTCTGAAAATTAAGGTGTGAGGTTGGAAAAAAAAATAATTTAAGGAACTATGAGTAATATGTATTAATTTTTGGTAGATTCATCAATGAGAATCCTTGGTGTACTTTGGAGATTATAGCTAGCTTCAGAGATTTAGGGATTATTTGCTCTTTCATTAGGTTCACCATAACTTAAAATTTAGAGATGAAAAAGATAACGTAGAGGTGTATAATTAATATGATTTATCTCGTAGTAGATTCTTTCATGAAAATAACCTGGTATGTTTTACAGAGTATAGACAGCTGAACATGACAACATGTTTGCTCTGACACGTCATGTTTTCGTGAAACGAAGATTCGAAGTTGGGAAAAAAGTAACTGGTGTTTTTTGACTCTTTTCTATGGTAAAAAGTAGGTGCTTTTCATAGAATTTAGCATACTCGTGCTATTTCTAAAGTCAATATTTTTCTGTCAGTCGTATCTCTGCTTCTCCAAAACATTTTACTCTGTGTAAAACACATTTTATTTTATGCTTCATATATTATACCATTCACTTATTGTATTATGCTAATACACCTTATATTATTTAAATATTAGCTAATAAGTGTCACTGTTGGCTATCTCGAGGAAAACTAAACGTGTCAGTTAACGAAGCGAAATTGCTACGCATTTGTGGCTTTTATCACAGAAACTGTGCGCGTTACGAGCCATAAATCATTCAACAGGCAAATTGTCGGTGAATTTATGTTCTCGTGTTCTTCGTGTCGCGAACAATTAGAAATTCTCTTTAAACTTGACTCCGGCTATTGTTACGATGATTGAAACCGTAATTGGAGGAAAAGCAATTTAATTAGTAAATTCATTTGTAAATTGGAAAAATTTAGAGTGGTAACCAATAAAATGCTTGTTAATTATATAACAGCGTGAAAGAAATAAATTGCCTTAATAAATTTATATCTTCCAGTGGAACCGATTAGATCTCGTTTGACAGTGATCGCGAAAGATGCAATTAATAAATTCGCACGTAGAAACATTATAAACTCATTATCATTCGCAGGAACGTTTATGAATAATGGTTCGTTAGTATATAATTATAAAAAAAATGGAATCAATTATTTTGTTAATTCTTCAATTGCGATCCTAGATTCCATTATTTTACCTTGTAATGATAGATTTCTTTAATATAGGTTTTTCGTAATAATCTAATCGAGACATTATACGATTAATAATAATTCGCATGTAAAAAATTAATTTGCAAACTGGGTTTCTAGGAAGAGTGAATTTTGAAATATGAGATCTCTGTGAATAGTCAGTATGGCATATTTTTTATTTCTTATAAGAATTTATGACGAATTTAGGTCTACATATACGAAGACAAATTTTCATATATTTTTCAAGTAAAATGTCAACAAATAAATTTTCAGTTTCAAATATAAGGTATAGATAACGATATATTAATGTATATAATCTCAACGAGATAAATAATAATTTAAGATAATTATATAATTAATTGCAGAAAAACAACTGATCATGTTGCAGATTTTCTATGTTAAAAATAACATGTCACGTTTGCGAATGGAATCTTAATTCTTTCGTTACGATAACACCTTGGCACATCGGTTGCACGCTACTCGGCAATTCATTAAGAATTCAAACATAAAATTAACATTCCCTGTACCACCAGAATATCCTTCATGCAGTGCAAATTTCGCTGCTTATAGTTTTTTTTATTACAACCATGCATCAAAAATCAGTTGAAAGGACGTCGTCCTTGGCAACGATCGGTTAATCGCTGCGTGGGATGAAGCATGTTCTGCAATGTACGAAAGAAGTGCGAACAAACTTTTGAAAACCGATTTCGACATATGGCGAAGCACGTACAGTATGAGAAAAGGCTGTCAGACCTTAAAAAAAATGATTACAACAATACGTGCCATGAAACTGTCCTAACGATCTACACTCGTGTCTGTCATTGAATATTTAGTGGATTTAAAGTAAAAATAAATCGATGATATAATTAGGAAACGAAGCTAATGCTAATTATTTGCATCATATAGAGAATTAAATTACACTTTTAATAAGGACTTATCTTGAGAAATTATAATAAATTATAATAAATTTAGAATGTGATATATAGACAGAAGTTTATCGATATACAAGATGACTCTTGTACCAGTCATCGGGAAATTTAATTTTTGTTGACTCGACAGCAAGATTTTTCAGTTTGAAAATTTATTGATCATTTCGAATGGAGAACTAATTACCATAACTGAAACATCCAAAATATATCTTTCTTTTGGCAGACGTGTCATTTTTCCTCAAAAATATTTCAACTATTAACCTCTCTGTCGTCCAGTTATCAGAACCAACTCAAAAATTATGGCACCCCATACCTGGATCATGCTGTATATTAACCCTTTTGCTGCTAGGAATATATATACAGAGTATTTTCTTCGACTTGGCCATAAATCAATTTAAAGGTCAAATTAATATTTTCGCATATAATTGTTATAAATTATAATTTATAAATTCATAAAATTCACGTGTTTAATAATTCCAGTCCAATTAAAAGATCTAATAATAATCAATTTCAAATAAATTCGTGATAACACATAGTCACACCTTTGTTCCCACACACATAACATTATTCCTCGATTAATTACATTAAATACTAAAATCCTTAAATAACAATATACATACACTTTCCAATCATACATTAAAAATCTTCGTGTCCACAATTTTGTCCGTACAAAACTGTTTCTTACCTGTTTCGTATTTACCAAAAATACATGCAGTTCTTACCACAGCGAAAGGGTTAACCATCGATGATGCCAGTGTTAACGGTCGTAAAAGTGCGACACGAGAAGAAATTCCAAAGACAACAAATAACCACAGTCCCGCGTTACATAATGTCGTAAAAGCGTTGTTCTATATGACCCCATGTGTCCTGACCTTTCGCTTTCACTCTCCCTCCCTCGGTCTGACCAATGCACCTCTCTCGAATCGAACATGCTGATCGTACCCGGATCGGAGGTATCGGCGATCCAACGACCGACTTGGACTGATCCGACCATAGTAAACCATAGTAACCTCTGCTCTATCTCGAGTCTACGTCATCTGCATGATAGCATATCTCGTTTTCATTCGTCCGCCGATGCACGTTGGATAAAATTACTCGCGTTGCGATAATTACACGCGATCCAGGCGGAAGTTGTTAACCATCGAATGGAGACCTGACGTGGAAGGCATGCACGATTACGCTGTTAACCGATTATAGTTCGTCAACTTGTTAAGCAGGTGGTTAACGTGCTATTGCGACCGGAAATGTTAAATGAGAAACGTCAGTTTGTTTAATTAGGGAGGTTGTTTATTTTCCACGTCGGTGGAAACGTTTATTCTCTTGGGCGTGAATCGAATGGCGCGGGTGAAGGTTCGAGGAGACAGGATACTTAGAGAATTTTAAAGGATTTTAGACATGTAGGACGAGGTTTGGAAATTCGAAAGTTTAAGATCTCCATGAATACACAAGGATGAGGTATATTAACGTAGAGTAAACTCGAGGAAACTATAGGAAACGTAATGCATAAATTTCTGAGATGCATACCCTTGCATTTTCTTGAAATTCAGATTAATCTATAAATTCGTACACAATTACAGCGATAATAAATCAAATTTAATTAAATATGATGTTTAGTGTACGAGAAGATGCATAGTAACAAAGAAATAGTGATTAATTGCAATGAAATTATGCCCATTTCTTAGCAGAGAGTATAATGTGTAACAGAGGGGAAATCGATAGAGTATTATTCTTCGCTTACAAAATACTAAACCCATAAATTTCCTTTGCAAAATAACAAGTAAACTTGGTTTCCCAACCAGGATGGCAATATTGGTTCAGAACTGGTGATTCGACCACTGCCGGATAGGATATTACATGAAATAGTAAGTAGGAATTCGAGTCTTCGCGAGGAAGAATTACTGCCTAATGTGACACGAAGTAAAGGGAACTTGAGGCGCACGAGTCATCACGTGGTGTACAAGAAAGTGACTCGTCCGAGCGGCGACGAATACAGCGATTTCAGTGAGTGATCTTTACCTGTTACCACACCGAAGGTGAAATCCTCCGGAGATCGGTTTCTCGTGATTAAACATCGATTTTAGCGCTGATGGAGCCCGACCACTTGGCCAAGAGGTACAGATCGAAGCGATCGGTCGTTACCAGAGCAAAGAGGGAAGCTCCATACGTGATCTATCCGGAAATCCTTTGCATCGTGGACTATGATGGATATAGGTAAGCAGTCTCGCAGATTAGCGGAAAATCATACTTTCAACCAAGATTAATTCACTTTCAACAGTTAACTACGAATCCAAGCAATTTGGAAATTTCTTCTTTATAGAAATTCTTTTAATTTTTATTAACTTAACATCGGAATTTAAAATCAGAAGATTTTCCAAATTTATCTAATTATTTAATTATAAGATAGTGTCTAATAAGTTAAATTAAATCAATTAATTAATTAATTCGTATTAATGTATAAGATTCACCAAGTATGATTTATAAGTTTAATTAAAGAATATCGTGTAATGTATCGTATGATATTATGTATAATTTGATATACAATTTAACGTATATGAAAATTTACTAACCGATAAAATTATTTATTTTCAGATTACACGGAGGTGACAATGTACAGATCAAAAGGTACTTCGTGTCCTTCTGGAATGGAGTAGATCTAAGGTATAAGCTGTTAAAGGGGCCAAAGATTCGCATCAGTATCGCTGGGATCATTATATCACGGGTGCAGTTCTATAATAATTTCAATCTCCTCGAAAATCAAATTGTTGCACGAATCAACGATTCTCCCACGGCTTTCTCCTCCTTCTTTCTCTTAAATGATATCTTTCAGGGGAGAGATGCTACACCGTATTTGGAAAGAAATCGCGTTGGACGAGACGCGATCGATTCGGCAGCTGCGTTGACCGACATGGGCAAATATCTCTTCCGGGAGAGACGACTTCCGGTCTACGACATCGCCGTCGCCGTTACAAAGTAAGAGTGCAAATTTCTTTAAATTCAACCTAATTTCCACATTACGTTTCACGTGATTAACATACAAGATCTTTCCTCTCAACTTGTCTCTCTCTCTCTCTCTCTCTTTCTTTTTTTTTCTTTTTAAATCTCTCGATACCGATGTAATTTGAACAATTTGTCTTTCATCTTCGAGCAAATCGAAGAATATCGAGACTTGAAAGGAAAATAATAATGATAGCAATTGAAAGTGCCTAGAGATTAAGGAGCGCGGATTTCAATCGAATTTCACGCAAAAATGAATACGCTCTATGGCCCCTGACATTATGCTATTACCGTTTTACCACAGCAGTCTTGTGATTTCATACTGTTTGATTTTTATTTCGCAAAACAGGTATGATATGTGCCGTCGTAGGAAAGGCGGCCGCTGCACTAAGGGAACAGCCGGTATGGTTTATTATATAGCGATCACGCTTTCTTTTTCAACTTGTTTATCTCTTTTTAATTTTTTGTTAATTTTTTTTCTTTTTTTTGCATATTTTTCTCTTAACGTAATTAGCATTGTACAGTATTTACACCCAGCTTCAATGTAGTCTTTGACGGTGCAGTGACAGCGTACCTCGATGGGGATTGGGTGCGTTTGAGAGGGTAAATGATTCAAAAGAAACATTCTTTCTCGTAGAAATAAAACTCGTACTGCTTACATAGTGAAATATAATTTAGGAATAATTATAATTAATAATAGAAATTAGTAAATAATTCAACAAATTCCTTTAATTAGATTGACGAATGTATAGACTCCATTTTGGTGAACGAGAAAGTATGCTCTTTTAATGCATTTAATTTAATATACTGTAAATACGGTGTTGATCACTCAACTTGTAGTTACTTGAATTATTAGATGCCATTTTAGTAGCAAATCAGCTTGCTAAACACAGTGCACAATCATTAGTACTCTCCTACGAATAAAATATAAAATAGAATCAGACCTAAAGGGGGTATGGTATACTAATATACGTAATCAATAACACGCGGGTTCATCTTAATTTGCCTATTATTAAACACCAATCTACTAGACTCTAATTATACCATAAAAGTCAGCATCTGTGAATACGATTAAACGCAAAATTAAAGTGAAAAATCGGAATGACATCCTGGACTTCTTTTCAATCAAAGACTCGACACGCATGTGTACATAGTTTAGAAAGTTCCACTTGGACCTTCAGAATCAAAGGACCATAATAACAAATCTCATTGTACATACCTCGTCTAAGAAGATAATGAAAGATAAAGAAAAAGAAAATTTCTTTCAAGCAGCAAATTACGAACGTCGAAACCAACGTTCACGATGTACATAATATTTTCCTTTCCCAAACAGTCGAGCTCATGTAAATGGTACCCTTTCATGCGATTTTGACAAACAACTCGATTCGAAGCTACCAAAGGATAATCGACTGTAATTATTCATACCTAAGATGCAACACTCGCTAATTGGCAATTATTTACACGCGTGCTACTCGTAGTGTGTTTGCTTTACCGTAATTCCACGCTATCGCCTTCCGCAAGCCGCGTCCTCAACGCTGAACGAGGAGCAAGCCTCGAACAAGGTGTGTGATATCGCTTTACGGTGTTTGCTTTGTTATCAGTCGAGCCACGAGTTAACGCCAATCCCCGTGAATCAATACCATTAATTGTCTACCGTACGTGAAGTCTCGCAAAGATTTCAAGAACACGTATTTTTTCCAAAAGATTTCCATGTACGATATGTGTATATTATCAAATATCATGGTTTATCAGGATATCGGACATTTATCATTTTATATCTTAATTATAGATACATAAACTTGTACGATTAACGATTAATAATCGCCTATCTTTAAAAATAAAATGTGCAGACGATTATGATTATGATACACGATAAATTGAAAGACAATTGTAACCTTATAAAAATATTCGAAAGCTGTACAAAAATTTTTGTTAATAGTACTTAATTAATTCAATTGAACGCGGTAAGGGTAAAAAGTACCCAAAGGTTCTCAATTTTTTAAAATTTAAATTAAATTTCCTTGCCTTTGTTAAACGATTTATCAAAATAGAAAAATTTGCCCAAGGCATAAGTAATCTATGGCGAGATATAAAGCGATAAATCCAGCTGTATCTTAGTGTCAAAAAGTTTTCCTTGCTCTGTGTATATTATAAATGGTTCAGGAGGTAGTACATGAAATTGGATAAAAGTATCATAGCTTCTCGGACTGGACATTAGAAAATATTATGGTGTATCGAGACAAAGGATTCATTAGGCACACACGAGCGGCACGTTTCCAACAATTGTCCCGTGACTTGGTCCGATGCAAACTGGGATTGTGAGTCCACATGATAAAGAGGAACTTTTGTTGTTGCGTTGCAGATTAGATATGTGCAGGAGGCAATACGCGAATGACGTGTGCAATAGAGGAACCGCAGGTACGTTTCTCGGGTTCGAAGGAAACGAGATTGACGAGTCGAAAATTGTCTTTGACCTCTTATCTGTGTGCACTGCTCTGCGAACGTTTTTATTTCTCCATTCTAAAAATCTCTTTGGCTGTTACTTTGCGAGGAAATTTCGATGTATGGTTGAAAATACGACGGAGGAAGTCCTCGGGGCTTTCCAGGGTTCTTTCGTGGCTTATACTATCCGAGACTTTAAATCGTAAACGCTTTTCTTTCTTTAATATTTTCCAATGTCTCGTTGCTATCTCGACTTTCTAACGAATTTACAGCAATTAAAGAAATTCCTATACGTCGTGTCGGGAATTTAATACTCGTTCAGTAGAGCAATATTTTTAATATCTCTAATAGCAGATAATTCGCTTTTACAAAATAAAAGTGCTTCCAATTATATTGGATTAATTAAATTTCTACAATTCTTTTGTTCCAATTAAATTATTCGGAATTATATAAATAATATCGTTTATGAGGTCGACTTTGAAGATCGATGTCTGGCTACGAACAGAAATTTCATTTTCTTCGTCTTCGATGTAAATTAAATTTCTCTTTCTTGTTTATTATATCGCAATATATGTTAATGCAAGACATTGGAATTATTGAAAAGAAAATCACGTGTCTCACGAAAACCTCGAATAGTATGAACGTTCTTAAGCGCGTCTACGTTGCTTTGATCTATACTTATTCTGTTTGTCTTCACTCTCTAATAGCTTGAACGAACTTCTTCACTCTGTGTTTGAACTTGATTGTCACGAGAAATATGGCTGGACAGAGAACGGCGATCGAAGCTTCCCTCGAGCTGAGCGTGAAACATTCTATCGCGGCTTGCCACGCGTGTTTTCTTGTTTCTGGATCTCACTTTTCTTAGTCTGGGATACGAGTTTGCCTTTCTCTCCTCTCACTCTCTCACTCTCTCTTTCACTCTCCTGGTTCTCGCTGCGAACGTATGCATACGCGAACGAAAACGAAAGCGATGCTATACTTGACTTCAAAAAAAGAAAAAAAAAAAGAAAAAAAAAAGAAGAAAAAGAAAAAGTAAGAATGAAAATAAAAAGACTGTCGCTCGAAAGTTTCCCCTTTTTATATCTTCTCTGCTCGTTCACTCTTTGCACAGTGGCTACGGTTTCCTAGTTTGTGTGTGTTTGTTTTGTGTCTCACGTGCATACGTGCATAAATCGTACACGACCTTGGCATTTGTACAATCGATCGTTTGCAATTACCTTTCTTGCATACACTTTACCACGGGACTCTTTCGAATTGAACGCTCGATCCTAATGGTGCCTCGTTAGTCTAAGAACAAGCTGAAAAATCCTCTGCCCGTATCACATCCACGCTCACCTCTTTTCTCCTCCGAATCACTCACGCCTTATTTCTGTTTCTTCGGCTGCATTACTGACGAGGACCGTGGTTGGTAAGTTTTATCTAAAGCGACCGAGAATCGCGGTTTAACGTAAACGATAAATCCAATAAAGGATACCGTAGATGTTAATGCATTTCCTTTTTCTTTCTCTCCAACGTTGGAGATCCTCTTTGAGGAATAATGATCTTTGAATCGATCTTCACGGTAGATGAAGTTTTAACTTATCTCGAAAGCCTTGGTTAATCGATCGACGTGAATTAACAGATGCATGCTGCCTATTGATTAACCGTGATCTTTCCTCAAATGTTTCAGATGCTTCTCGAAAAAATTTTGCATACATAAAACCTGCAAACTTAATTTGTAATTACTCCGTAATTAATTTAATTCGATACCTTTAATTTGTTAGGTGAGTGTAGTAAAATTAATAAAAATTAAAATTGGATTGTCTATTTAGAATTGCTCGGAATTTTCAATTTAATATTTTCCAAGTATCTTTTCAATTTAACAGATTCTTTATTTGCTCAACTTTGTTCGATTTGAGATCGTTTGAAGTAAATATACATCTTCCATTCTGTTACGAATTATAATATTTTAAAAAACGTTGGTACATTTGTGGAAAGACTTAATTATTTTCTAGCTTCCTTTAATTAAACGAGTATTTAGTTAAACAAATTAATACCGCCAAATATTCGCTAGTATTTCGTATCTAATAATAATATTGGTAACATTCTATCAGAGAACGTGTCTTTGTTTCCGAGAACATACTCGCGAACATTTCGATGGGTAAGAAAATAATTTCGTAATTAAAGTTGAATTTACATTACCATTCTAGTTGCAATATCGCTAAGTTGCGGTACTTTCGAATCAAATTCAGGTATTAACGATCCAGTCGTGATTCCATTACGATATACAGTACGAACTTGAATTATCCTGATACAATCTTTGTTTCGCCACGATGCATTCATAATCGAATTTGGATTTCCTTTCACGGTACGATCACGCTTCGTTTACGGTGTATTCAAATTTTCAGCCGGCCGTCCAATCGAGTTTCAGTAATAGTTTAAATCGCGTACTTTCCAAAAAGTTCACGTTATACTACTGAAAAATTTCGCAATGGTTACGAGCCTATTGTATTAGACCCTGAATTGTGATTTCTCGTAATGGGATTACAAAATATCGCATTCTTCCTGTACTACTGATCTAGTTATTGTATTCTAGCCGACCATAGTACGTTCTTTGACTCTTATAGCCAGTTCATGATTGTATAATTTTTCTTACAATTATTTCCATCGATTACAATCGTGATCTTGCCAGACTCGAAATACAATCGATTTTACCCGATACGATCATTCCAGGAAACACTCGTGATTGTTACCTAATCACGGTAGTTATTGTTAGAGCACAATGCATTAGGGTCTGAATTGAAGATTTTATCGTGATTCGATTGCGTCAAGTTCGAGTTTTAATCCTTTTGATGATTAATTACGGTACCTTTACGATCTGATCGTGAAGTGGGCTATAAATTGATCGTATAATTAATTTTATTCAATTTACGAATAATTCGTTCAATGATACTAGCATTGAAATTATCGATGGATTTACGATCACGCCAGTGGCGGAATTTACCTCGCGAAGTGAAAATAACTTAATCCCAACCGAAGTATTAGTAAGCGTAAATTTGTCAGTATTGATTTATCTCAAAAAATATTTCGAGAAAGATTATCGTTTCGATCTTATTTTCTCTTTTTTTCCACGTGTAACAATGATAATAATATTGCTAGATCGCGCCAAATTTGCTATTCCTCGTTCTCAAAATTAAAGACACGTTGCTCTAGAATTAATTTAACTTGCTAAAAAAATGCAGCTTCTTGTTAGCCTAAATCAAATAACGAACTCGGTAGTGACATTAACATTTCGATTAGTATCCTTTACACGCTATGCGGGATAAAAATCGTTTGAAACTGATCGTATATCTTCATTTAGGATTCGCGTACGTGGGTGGAGCTTGTGTCGTGAATAAACGTCTCGAAAAAGTGAATTCAGTCGCTATAATCGAAGACACCGGTGGATTTAGCGGAATTATCGTCGCAGCCCACGAAGTTGGCCATTTGTAAGTTCAATGTCGCCTAAGTATCTTCTCACTTTCGTCAGACACTCCGAAATTCTGTTATATTCGCTTGAAAACTTTTTCTCATTAATTCTTTAACATAAATCATTAAAAATTCAAGAAGAAAGGAGTATAAATTAAAACTAAAATTCGAACGATTATTTTTTTACTACCAAGAGTTGCATAAAAATGCAAATGTAAGTGAGCGAAGTTCGAATTCTTTTTTTTTTTTTTTTATTATTCGTCGTATCGTTAAAAATTGGTAGCAACCATAGTTTTACGAGAATGGCACTGATTTGCGTTAGAAACACGTTTGAATGGAAAATAAGATGATATTGAAATGCAAATGTCGTAGGTTGGGTGCAGTTCACGATGGCTCTCCTCCACCCAGCTATCTCGGTGGACCAGGGGCCGAAAAATGTCGCTGGGAGGATGGCTACATTATGAGCGATCTCAGACACACCGAGAAAGGCTTTAAATGGTCCCACTGCAGCGTGTCGTCGTTTCACCATTTCCTAAAGTATGATTCACTCTCTCTTCCGTGAACCTGTAACTCGAATATTATCTCAGGAACGCATCTTGAAATAAGAAAAATGGAAAGAACTTGTGAAATAATAAATCAGAAGATACTAAACACATATTTCAGTCAAAATTGATAAACTTTCTAATTAATTAAAGCATTTATTCTTATCTATAATTAATTCCGATTTGATATTTGTATTTTTAATTTTATCTGCGTTACTGTCTTGAAGCAAGAATTCCAGGTTGTGATAGTCATAGGATGAAGTAATTTAATTCCTCGAGAATGAGTTATTTACATTTTGTTATAGAGTTAAGTTTGTTTGAAATTTATTTTGCTGTTTGTATTTCAGTGGTGACACAGCAACGTGCTTGTACAACGCACCTCACGAAGACGAAGCTCTTCCTAGAGTTCTACCTGGAAAACTCCTTTCGTTGGATGCGCAATGTCGAAAAGATCGTGGAACGAGCGCCTGTTTCGTAAGCTCTGCATTACAGCATCAATCAACTGTATCTTTTTTACTCATTACATCGTTAGTATCGTACCAACGAAATGACTGTTTAACGTTTTAGAAAGACGACAGAGTTTGCGCTCAGCTGTTTTGCTTTGACGCTGGCTCAGGATATTGTGTGGCGTATCGTCCAGCTGCCGAAGGTTCTCCTTGTGGAGATGGTCAGGTAAATAATTTAATTGGAAAAGCAGTGATCCAGGTGATTAAAAATGAAATTTCAGAATGATGAAAGATATCAGTAAAAATATTTAATATTTATTCACGAATCTGATGTTCATTATTTTATATTTCCCTTTTATGAAATTCTTGATTCTAATCTCGTTAAAAATTTCAGTATTGCCTAAATGGAAAATGCGTGGCCGAGCATGAAAATATTATACCAGATTATACACAGAACATTCCAACGTATGTGCGCCGAGATGGCAGTTTCAATCCTACAGCTCATAATCGGCCTCTGTACGAACAATACAACAACACAGACTACAGGTACTTTGACAGTGGCAATGTACGATTTCCCTGCATTCGCTGTAATTGGTAATACCGAAATAATTACTATCGAGATAAGATAATCGAATTAATGAGCTTCGATATTTCTTCATTTGCGTTAATCAAAATATTTATCTTGTAATTATCTATTCGGTAACGCAGTTTCAGGTAATTGTCATGCATCTCGAAATCGTTGTTCAAATATTTACCATAATAGTATGCATTGCAAAGATCATAAAGCTTGACGATAAACAACAATTTCCACGTGTTCGGTAAACATGTAATCAAATAGTAAATATTTTTCTAACAACCAAGAATAATCCAAACAGACCAACTCTGTCTCGTTGTGTTCCATCGATAATGCCATAATGCTATGTCATACAGGTATCCGTGGGAATCGACGACACACAGCACGCCACAATCGAAATTCAAATACTCCTCGCCGTCGTCGAATCTCTTCTCGTCGACGAGCAATCCTTACAAACGCGTCACACCGTTCGCGACCACCCCGGCGACCAAATACACCTACACCACCGCCAATAAATACAAGACTAAAGTAAATAGTAGTAACGATGCTAGTTATAGTAAGAACGGATATAGTGGTGCTACCACTACCAGGAAGTACAATTACTCGTACTATACAGTTAGTCCGATATCAAAGGTCACGAATGACCTGAATTATCCAAAAATTAGTCCGTTCAAACATAAGGGCACGGTGAGCACGGTGCCGTTCTCAGCAGCAAGCAAAAGGGATCAGAACGGGCTTCAAAGTAATGCTCGCGGTAAGAGAAATCTGTATCAAAAGCCAACGATACTCGCTTTCTTCTCAGGTTACAAGAACCTACTCTTTACTCTATCGATGTCTGATTATCGTCTGTTTAAATGTAATCACGACGACTATTTTCTTGTCTACTTTCGCTTTACCCCTTTCTTGCTTCATTTTTTTATTGTTATGTGAATGGAACTAAGTATTTCTCCGTTAGGTGTTCTTCTATTTCTTCTATTACTTTACTTTATTTATTCGATAATTTTCTTTGTGTGCTGATCACTGTTAATGAACAGCGTAGCCGTTAAAACGCTACGAGGTGATTAAAAAGGTGACAAACTGACACGTCGCATCTTTCATCGTCAACGTTCTCCCAAATTTGACTCGTGTAATTCACTTGTGAGACAGTGAATATCTTTTTCTTCTTTTCGTGCACCTCATCAACATTCGTTTTCCTTCTCCAGTGTCTTCATATACTACAGACATTTCATTGCATAACTTGTGATAATCGTGCGTTAAATACATTTCGAATTCTTGATGTCTCTTTCTTTCCATTAGAATTTGCTGTTTCTGGGTGGATGTATTATACGTATAATGAACAACTGTTTCCTCTTTATTTCACAATGTTTATTTTACCTGTTAGTATTCATTTCACAGTTTCAATCTCTTTTTACTTGTATATAATATCATAAATTAAACAAACGTGTTAATCATGTTTCTAAACAATTCAAAATGTTTATCAAGTAATGAAATTAAGCTTAATATTTGTGTCTCACTCTACTAATAATAAATTCTTGGAACTCCAAGAATCTGTTTGTTACATTCTCCTGCAGAAATGTGAGAAATGTAGAAACAGTAAAATTTGTAAAAATCGAGTCTTAATATTCTCAACAAATTCTTTTTAGTGCTGTAAAAAATACTTTAGCATAAATAATTAATCTACCTCAACTTTTATGTATTACTTACATTTCAAACTTCAAACTTCAAAACCTCTTTCCCCGTCATGTCTTCAATCAACATTCCAATGTAAATACCTTACTATGAATAATCGAAATTCATCACGTATACAGAAATCACATTTTCCATGGCAGCAATCCACAATTATTCTCTTGCATTCTAGAACCAGAGGACGATGAGTGCACGGACGTGGGGTCAGATTGCGCGGAGCTGATTGACAGGCTGAGAACATGGCTGTGCCATTTGCAATCTGTGAAAAGCCGCTGCTGCGCGTCCCTGAAGACGATCTGCGCCGCTTGATGGGTAGCGTTGAAACGGTTCTTCCGGTTCGTTAAGGAGTTCGCGTAGCCACGCATCCACAGACTACCATAGACCGACATCAAACACTCGGCGCGCACTCAGCACGCGTTCAGCTCATCGAGCAGTTCATATTCTCCATCGAGAGATCGGGAATAGGTGAATCATGTGACTCACGATGTCGTTGGGTCATCGTGATTTTTGAAAGAAGGACATCTCACAGAGTTCTTAAACGCTCTCGCGGTCGCAACCGCACGAAGAACGAATGTGCAATTCAGTTTATTAAGTAGTTACGTAATCTCACTGTGTTACCCAGAATATAACTTCGTTCTTTCTTCTTCTTTCTCTTTCTTTCCTTTTTTTCTTCTCTCCTACCTTTTCTCTCTCTCTTCTTTTTTTTACGGTAGTACCGCAGGAGCTTTGTACAGAAAACGGGTGTGAAGACATAAACGTGTCGAAGACGAACGAAACGTTCGATTGATATATCCGGTAGATTCGACCGTATATTTATTCGATGCACGTGATCGCGCGGGAGACTTTTGTGTTGCGATAGATATCGATCATGCGCTCGCACGTGCGCATGCGTATTAGTACGGACGCGCAAGTGCACGCGAGAAAACGAGCTTCCTTTAAAATCATGAAAATTGTAGCGCAAAGCAAATAAATGATGATTATACAATGGAACCGTGTGTTCCCCTTTGTTGGTTGCTTTTTATGAACTTTTTTATACAAACTGAAACATTGGATTGAGACAATTTGCTTCCTAGATACTGAAATGATTTTTTAACTGTCTCTGATAAATGTTTGGACTACTTATATTTTATAGTACTATTTTTAGGTGTTGAAAATTGAGAAGAAATAATTTAATATCTGTAGACAACATTCGTCAATTGCATATAATAATGTATTGTGATACGTATGTACATATTCGAAAAACAAATTTTAGAAAATTTCTTCGTTTTTTTTTTTTTTTGTTCTTTTTGTATAACGTCAATTTAATAAAATGGTCGACTAGTTTCCTCATGTATCTTATTTGAAATTATTAAACACCTTGTATAATAAATATAGAAAAATCTTCCCTTCTGTCTCAAGTATCAATTTATTTTCAGTAAGTTCATTTAAATTCGATGTGTTCTCTAAAACAATTTATGTAAAATTATTTTAGCAATTAAAATGCTAATAGTTTTCATGTACCCCAAAAATTAATATTGCTGTAAATAATCACATTGATTAATTTTTTCCAGACACATCGTTATCTGTTATAATTAGTTCTGTTGAAACCTGTTGGAATTAAATTTCTCCATTTTTTAATTATGTTATACCATTTATATATATTCGTCATTTAATCGACAGATCATTCCAAATAAAAAATTGAGTATCGAATAATTTATTCAGTAGGAAATCAACTACAGTGATGTATCACCTATCCATCTTGCAATCTCGAAGATTGTACCATCAATATATGAGGATAGCCTCCGAAATATAAAATTATGTATGCGGGTACTTATTCTAGACAGGAACATATATTAGTTAGACACAGATCGATTGTCGATACGTACACAATATCAACATCGTGCTATTTGAAATAAGATGAAGAAAGTGATTTCCATATGATATTGACGATTAATTACATCTGCACGAAAACATATTTCGTCAAGTGTTATGTTACCTAATTGAATCTTATTTAAAAAAGAAAACTAAGTGAAATACATGATAAAGTTCAAAGTTCACGATTCCTGAATCATAATTTTTGAATCATGAATCATGCAATATTTAATGTAATATTTAAAAGGAGGACCTTCTTAAATTCAAGTATATATATAAATAATTATATTCTCTACAAATGGAAGAAATTTAAATATTAGACGTACATCATTTGTTAATTAATGAAACATAATTTATATTTCTCTGTGTAAATCATCGACCATTATCAGTAAAAAATCTGACATTATGCGAACAGGTGTTTCCTTTCATTAGCTATAAATAAGTATCAGACTACCTAAATGTCTTCAGCAAAATTATTCGATGTTATTTCTGTACCTACTGTCAGGACTATTGATCAAAATAAAAGAATAAATGCTCAATTTCTTAAATTGGATCGTAAGTTTGTAATGATTAATTTTTATTTAAATTGTATCAAATTCGTATTAATTTTTAATCAATAATTTTCTTAAAAAGTTATTTCTATAAAGAAAAAAGATTTCCATGAAAAATATACAACATGGCTATAGTTAATACAAGGTAGGTTCAAAATGAAGGTATTTAACGTAATTGAAAATTTATAAATATCTATTACAATATTATACGTTTTCCTCAGATTAGATTTATGCAACAAAGTGACTGAATATATGTGTGTTCCTGCGACGTTAGGTGAGTAACATATTTCTAATATAAAAATAGAATATAAATGGAAAATATAAAATACAAAATACAGGTAAAGCGAATAATATATCTAAATTAAATATACTTGTAGGTTACGCTTAGCAGGAGGTGCAGTAATAGAAATCGTACAAGAAAGTTCTCGGAAGCTGTTGGCATAGTTGAAGATGATGATGGCTTCAGTGGTATTATACCAATAGTTCACGAGTTAGGCCACTTGTGAGCTATTCTTTACCCTAATATTTATCTCTAAACTTTTCATTTAACTATCTTCAGGAAGTAGTTTTGTTATTATCATGAACGATACTCGATCTTTTTTTCTAAAAATTTCAGATTAGGATACCTCACCATAATGATACCTCGAATAACACCTGAAATTAAATGGTCCAATTGCATTATAAGATCATTCAAAAAAATACGAAAGAAAAGAAAAAATAAATTTTAAATATTAAGTAAGTAACCAAGGCATAAATATTGATACAGGAAGAAAAGAAAATTTAATTTCCATCACAATTTTCTTCCTTTTCTCCAAACTTTCTTCTCATCATGATAATTGAATAGTACATGTTAAAAAAAAGGAAATAATCGAAATCATAATATTCTTTCCGGTGTAAGAGGGAAATATTTCTCTCTCTTGAAATACGTACTACAAACTCATTATGCTTAAAATCTACTGGCTCTTAACAATCCTGGATTGAACTATTATCTCTTAACAACCTATTCTACTATCTCTAACAGTCTCGGATTGATCTATTATCCCTCAACAACCAATTCTACTATCTCTTAACAGTCTCAGATTGATCTATTATCCTTGAATAACCAATTCTACTATCTCTTAACCACATTTATATATAAATCAATTTCATAATGTTTTTGTTGGGCATATTAATCAATATTTATGTTTCATCCCCTATAAACATTCTTTGGTTGTAAATATATTATACATTTTTTCTCGAATAAAAATTCTAAGTATATATTATACAAAGCTTCATTTTTAAAGTAGTTAAAAGTCATTTGCGAGTTCATATCATTTATTTAAGCGAAGACCGAGCAAAGTGCCTTTCTAATAGACCGCCAAAAGATGCAATAAAACGTATCTCACCGGGAAAATCAATGTCTCTAGATGTTCAATGTAAAAAATCTTATGGTGGTAAAACATGTAACGTAAGTACGTTCAAGAAAAACATAAATTTTTTAAACTAATTGAAAGATAATTTATCAGAAAAATTTATCTTTGATGTGTTATCAAAGTGCATAGACCCTGATAGTAACGGTTTGTGTGTACCAGTTGCAACAGCTGCTGATGGTTCTTCTTGTGGAAATAATCTTGTAAGTTATTATTTATTCTTAGAAATAATTACAATATTTAAGGATATTTTCATAATCATAATAATATATTTTATTTCTTTATCATAGATATGTCCTTGATGGAGAATGTGTATTGGAAGAATCAAAAATAAAAAGTGTAAAACTTGCATAAAAAATACATATTGAATTATTTATTTCTTAAAATGTATTAAATTTACAATTAATGCACGTAGGTGATATAACTGAAGAACAATAATAATTTTTTTTCGTATAAATATATATATATAAAAAATGAATACATATATAAACAAAATTTTATATAAACATCAATATAAAAATATTAAAGTTTGAAGTAAGCATTAGCATTCACAGGTAATTGAATAATTTTATAATTTATTTAATACTGTAACAAATATGTATATAAATTAAAAATGACTTATGATACTAAAGAAGCAAGACATTACTACTGGTTGCCAATTAATGAAATATAACTTAAAATATAAATTAAGTTAAATAATGGCATATATAAATATGTAACTTACACATAATATCAAAAAAATAAAATGAACTATTAAATAATTATAATGTACAGTATATCACCTTCAACATTGATATCATTCAACAATTTTTAATTCTATTCCTATTTCTTCATATAATTCAGTTTTACTACCAGGATAATTATCTAATATACAGTCTAAAATTTCAGTACACAAACGTTTTCGTTTTACATATTCACGTGAATACTCATTTAATGCTGCTTCTGTCTTTCTTTTAGTTTCAGTTAAATCTTCGGTACCACTTGCCTCCATTAATGCATCTAATTTATTTGTCATGACTGTAATTCTCTCTTGGATTATAGCTTTTTGTTTTCGTGCCTCTTCAATTGTGATACAGGACTTCATCGAAGACAAAAAAGCCTCTTGTACCTTAATTTCTCTTTCAAGCTCTTGATATTTGCTTTCAACTTCATTAGCATGAGCTTGTAATTCATTGTCTATTCTCATCAATTCCTCTATTTCATGGCTCGTATCCTGAACTGGACAATAAATTTTTTGCTTTCCATAGACCTAATGTAAAAATCTTTTAGTTAACTTGATTCATTGCTTATATTACATAATAAATATCCTACTTTTTCAAATATCTTTCCTTCAGACACCAATTTGTCCATAGCCTTCTGGACAGCTTGTTTACCATATTCATTATGGAGATTTGAAACTATTTCATTAATATTATATGGCCTATTTTGTAATTTTAAATATTTATATACAGTATCTGCCATTATTACTATTAATTTGGTTTACTTTCTCCTTCTTCTTCTTGCATTTAAAGTACTTTTTACAGATGACTTAACAGCTATTGGAAAAATATAATTTTTATCAAATACAGCAATGATTATAATAAATTTACTCTTTTATGTATTATAGTTACTCATAGATATACTGCAACCCATATGCTTCTATTAAAAAAATTAATACAATTGTAACCATAACATCATTAATACAATTTAGGTTAAAACTTGGTAATTCTTGTTACCCAAAAAAGCATAAAATTAAGTTTTGCAGTAAAATATAAAAAACAGAATTATAAACGAATTACTGTTATTATTACATTTTTATTGTTATATATTTTTATTTCACTAATGTTTTGAAAATCAAATTACGTGATCAACTTGTAACAAGTGTGTTTACTATTCATGGATCACGTGATTTCCTTGAATATAATGAATACTTAAAGTGCGGGAAATTTAATCGAGTATCTTCTTAAATCATTCTATCTAATACAAAATCAGAGAAATGAATAATATAATGTTTAAAGAACTAAATATTCATTTAATCATTTCTTTTATCAAACGTCGTAATATTTTTATTGTATATACAACGTTAGTGTAAAAACAACATTATTGTGGTATATAATGTTATAACATGTTTACTTTTCTAATCAATGCAACGTCTATTAGACTTAATATCTTTATACATCCATAAAACTAAAACATGCTTATACATAATATAGTAAATAAAAAAAATAAACATACTCTGGTAATTACTGCCAATAAATTTCTCAAGGTAAAATACAGATATATAGAAAAGTGACTTATTGATATCTATTGTATACATCTATATAGAGAGTATTAGGATATATAGAAACTGCACGTTAAAGACATAATTGAAGGAGTTATCTTCAGGGAACAAGTGTGAATAGTATCATCGAAGGAATATCTTGCTCTACATTTAAAATGGGTGAATTAAATATTGCATAAATATATAGGCTCGTTTGACATGTCATATCACTCGAATTACCATATTTGCGTTATGTGTTAAGTTACAATTACATTACTGTATATTCTATCATACTTGAAAATTTAATGTTCAATAAATATTAATTTCAATTTCTAATTTTATAGGTTCGTTAAAAAATAAGTACTTTAGTCATTTCAAAATTGAATCTAATTATTGAAACTCGAATAATTACGTTAATTAAATCGAAGAAATGTCGTTAAGGTTTTCAGTGACCTCTGTGGTTTCTACACGGGAAGAGATGTCAGACTCGAAAGTGCTCTTTGCGAGTCAGTTGCTTACGAGACTTCATTGAGAGTACAATAGATCTAGGTTGGTTAGTTTAGTGAAAGAAGCAACCTGTGCACAATTTAACAGAATTTTATAAATGTTAGTAAATATAAATTCTGTAAACGTATATGCAACGTTAACATTAGAATTCCCAAATTCGGCATAAGATTCTTTTTCCCAAATAAAAAAAATTTTTTAAATTTATCAAATCAGTTTCATAAGGTTATCATAAAGTAATTTTCAACTGTAAAGTAAAAATGGCATGTTCTCCTTTGGTTTATCACATAAAATTTGAAATAAATAATCACATAGAGAATTAAAAATACATATATGACAAAAATGTGTACTATCATTAATTGATCTTCTCAATTTAATATTTTAATGGTAATAAGTATAAACAAGCTTTACATTTTGTGATTTCATATTGCAATTAATAAGAGTATATAATATTAATTTTTATTAATTATTACATACTTGTCATATTATTTGATATTTTATTATTAATATTAATAACCAAATGTAATCAATACACTATATTTTGTTACTAATTCTGTAAATTTTTCAGATCGTTAGGTTGCTAAGTTTGTCACATAACATAATTATACTTTAAAAATAGATACTTTATTCTATTCAAAGTAGAAATGGTACTATATATCAATGATATTAAAAAGCACCAAATTTTCATTATTTGCAGAAGCTATATTTTGCTGTGAGAAGATCTGACGCAATACTTATCTAATTTTTGTTGTCTTTAATTTTGATTATCACCTCTTGGTAAAACAAATTCACAAAATGTTAATGTACATTGTGTGCATATATGCCAATCGAAAAATGATATCTTTAATTAACAAAAGCAATCCCATTACTTCAAATCGGAAGATAATGGTTCAATTAGGAAGTTATCATTTGCTATCGAACGTATAAAAACATTGCTACGTACGAATTCTCATCAGTTTCACCGAAGTAACTATTACTGAATCTTTTCCAGGCAGCTTGGCTAAGTACTGCACTCGAAAGATGATGTACGTGAATGCTGCGGTGTGCTTGTCAGTTTTGCTGTTGGTAATTGGGCTGTCCGTAGGGCACAACGTTATTAACTTCAAAGGAAGTGATGCTTTAAACTCGGCGCCACTTATCGATGGGTAAGTGATCTTTTATTTTCTTCAGTCGATAAGAAATTAGATGCATATGGTAATGAAGCATGTACAAAAATTTTAAGAATTGTATTAAGGAAATTATTAATATCTCTTAATTAATTTATTTTAATTAATATTTTATAGCAGATTATTACCATGGCAACTATCTTAAAATAAAATACTTATAACAATTAGTGGAGAAGCAATAATAAAAAGTAGGAAATTGCAATAGAAATTAATATCATTCTTAATGTTGTCTTGTCTATGTGTCGTTATTCCAATAAGTATTCATATGATCGCTACTAATGTAGATAAGTAGTTCTCTATTATTAGTCAATCATATAAATAGGGTATAATGATGTCATGGGATCTCTCTCCACGGGAAATGATAAATCATCACTCTGGTTAGTCTTGCGTTAGAATAGATAAACAATGTTTCTATTAATATTACCTTTTACTTGTCTTTCTTCTTATTCTCTATTTTTGTTTAAAAGTACTATTTAGAAGTACTTTCATGTTTATTACTAACTACAGGAAAAATAATGTATGGTTAAAGAATGTCTGTAATATGGTAAAACAAATATAAAAATATTCCATTTGCTCTGTTTATAAATATTTATAAATTGTTCCTATTTCTGTAAAGCAAATGTATCGTTATTGTCAATAATTTCAAAATAATTAGGTAAACCTTGCATACTGCCAATACTCGAAAACTTACTTTCTTTACCATGAGTTGCACAATATTTTAAGAGATAAAAACTTTGCTAGTTTACTTACATAAATTACGTAAATTAGATAAATGATAACCATCTATAGATATGTCTTATCATTTATTGTCTTCTAAACAGATAAAAACTCATTAGAAAGAATTTATCTCTTACTTATTTAATTACTTAGATATTTCTACAAGAATGAATTAATTAATTAAGTTAATGGTCAGAACATAGAGTGGCTTTTAATTATAACATTCGATTAGTTTACTAGTTATATAAATAACTCAAATTTGAAGAGTCTTACCAGAAGCCTAATTTATGTTAAAATTATTACATTACCAAATATTTTGTTAATCTTGAATCATAGAATTCTCGACTATGGATTTCTCTAATTACACTTAGATATACACAAACGATGCAAATATGAAATGATAATAGATAATTACTTTCCTTATTAATCTAAGTATTTAGAGAAAATTTCTATACTTTGAGGTTTCCTGTTCTTTTTTTTTGTTATATTTTATATCGAATTACTCTGATCGAAATCTACTTTCTCCAACATTAGAACAAAATTATACAAAACTTTTATTTCTCCTGCAAAAAGAAAAGATAAGATAAGACCAATAAATTAGACATAAAAGAATGACTTCCTTTCTTTATTTCGAAAAAAGATACGCGAATGTGAATAAAAAATGATAATGAAAAGGAAAACAATGTATCTTTCTCTGTTTCAGTCACAATGACCTGGCCTACAACTTGTATGATTTGTTGAATAACAACTTAGACAGATTCAACTTCACTAAAAATTTAACCGATGACAAAGTATGGGGTACAAATGTATGTAACACATGTAACACAGACCTGCCCCGATTAAGGAAAGGAAAAGTCGGTGCACAAGTGAGTGGGAAGCCTGCAAATGCAGAAGACAGGTTATCTCTAGAATTTCCGCTCTGTCATCCGCATCATGGAACTAATTAATTGACTCATTTAAAGCTCCTTATCGTTTTAGTCTTCATACCGAGATACCTTTCGTCTCTTATCGTTTCACGCTTCGTATTTGCAATATATCAGTAATTTCTATGGGAGTACATTTTTGTTATCGTTCCTTTTATCAATACCTAATTCTTCCTCTTTTTTGTTTCGTACGTAATATAAAATCACAATAATATGGTTGAGAACTAATTGATTTTCTTTTCTTTCTCCTTATTAATTGCGTTAATAATATCAATAACAATTAATTTTAGTTCTGGGCCGCGTATGTTGATTGTGCATCGCAATACAAAGATGCAGTACCACTGACGATGAAACAAATCGACGTTATTAAAAGATTAGTCGCCAAATATCCGAACGATATGCAATTTGTAACGGAAGCAAAAAATATCGAAGAAGCGTGGAAGAATGGAAAAATTGCTTCTCTAATCGGTGTCGAAGGTGGTCACTCCATGGATTCTAGTTTGGCAATACTCCGGCTCTACTACGAGCTTGGTGTACGTTATATGACACTGACTCATATGTGTAACACACCATGGTACGTTCAATTTTTATACGAATAAAGAATTTCTATATTTTAATCATTCGACAAATTTCTACACGATAAATTACTCAATAAATTTAATTCGTAAAAATGAAATTATCTATCAAAGAAATAAAATACTTTTATTTGCTATTGTTTGAGTCATGTTCGAAGAGATAAAAGACGATAAGGAATTTTACTTAATAAGAATGAAAACAGAAATGATTCATTTAAAAAGAATTAATAAATTTTTTCTTTCTGCTTACAGGGCTGATGCATCCATAGTGAACGATAACTCTGTTCACAACCTCACGAACTTCGGTGAAGTATGTCCAAATTTTTTAAATTTTATACTAACATATATTACACTAACATTTTTGTATAAAAATTTACAAATTTCGTATTTTAATATAGGCTGTTATTTATGAAATGAACCGATTAGGAATGTTGGTCGATTTATCGCATGTATCCCACAACGTTATGAGACATACGCTCTCAATAACGAAGGCCCCTATTATATTCTCCCATTCATCCGCTTTTAGCGTTTGTCACAATTACCGTAATGTTCCTGATGATGTTTTACTCATGGTTGTAAGTAATTCTTTATCGTTCTTCCAATTGCTTTGTACGAGTATACGAGATGTAATTTTGATTACATTTTCAGAAAGCGAACAACGGCGTGGTAATGGTGAACTTTTACTCAGGTTTTGTAAATTGCAATTCTTCAAGAAAAGCAACTATCCACGATGTCGTAGGTATGAACCACGCGAAATATTAGCTTTAGGTTTTATACAACCCAATTGGACTAAAAAGGAAAGATATATTTATTAATAAAATACTATTTCATTCCTTTTACGTGATAAAATCTACATGAAGTAATTACATGTATCAAATTCGCTTTTTAACGATTTATTTTTATTTGATTAGAAATAAAGATTAGAATCAAAGATTTTGAATCAAGTATCATTAATCAGTTGGCTTAAAGAGATTACGATTTTTACATAGAGTAATCATCGAGTTCCCTCCTTATAGATCACATCAATTACATTCGTAATCTTATCGGAGCGGATCACGTTGGTATTGGTGCTGATTTCGATGGTGTACTAAGGTAAATGTTATACGATATCACATACTAAAAAGGTCAAATAGTTTAATCAAAATTTGCAAAATTTGTTACAAATGTTTCAGAATGCCGGAGGGTTTGGAAGACGTATCTAAATATCCAGATCTATTCGACCTGATCTTCGAGAGTAACGTTGAACCACGATGGACCAAAGAGGAACTTGAGAAATTAGCTGGCAGAAATTTGATCCGTGTATTCCAAGCTGTAGAAAACGTATGTTAAAGAAAATCTAATCAGTAGGGTGTCCAATATGGAATATTCAAAAACCATAAAAATGTAATCATTTCTTGTACTGCGTTTTAAAAGGTAAGAGATACATTGGCAAAGACAGAGTCACCACGACAGGATATCATAGATGTAAGAGATGTCTCCGAAGCTGAAGTAATTAGCCATATTCAACCAGGTTTATGTCAGACCTCAAAAGAGTAAGTGTACTAATGTAAAACTGAATTTAAATATTTGTTTCATTTATTTATACATAATTTTATTTATGTAAACAGATGGGACGACATTAGAAATAACAGTACATCGCGACAATAACACGACATTTATTTAAAGCAAAAAATAAAATGGCTCGATATTTTACAGGTAAAATTTATTTTCATACGACACTCCAATATATAAGATCAAACTATAAGCAATAAAAATGTAAAATACTCAAAAGTTCTTACTTTTTGAATAATATAAAATGTATCTTTCATAATCTTTTTATCCCTCCCTAAACAAATATACTTACCAACAGTGAAAGTTTTAATAGGCACTTGTATAATTTATGCGGATTTATTATACAATAAATAAGTCTCTTGTTGCAATGCATATTTACAATAACCGGCGGTTGGATGAAGAAATGGATACCATATGCACATATATTTGAAAAAATATCTCAACTTTTAATATAATAATATAATGCACCACCTACGTTGAGAAAACAGTAAAAGAATACTATAATTTTATGAATGATTTTATGAAGAAACTTAAGTTCAAAATTCATAGTGCATAGATAGAACAATTACTATTATAATTACTAATTATTTAGTTTTCATCACTGCATTCTCCACTCCGTTATTCTGTGATATGGATTCCTGCGCTATACTTATACCAGCAATAAACTTTTTCCTAAAAATAAACAAACATTCAAGAGTTTACAAGAACGTTATATCATATTAATCATTGCAAATTGGCCACACATCTGTACCAACCATTGACTTATTCTCACAAATGCATGTACTTTGGGTGCTGAAAAACCATTAAAGGGAGAACTAAGGCTTATACTGTATGATCCAACGTCTCTCCAAATCAACCAATCGCCACGATGAAATTCAGGTAACAATACATCTTTCAAGATACAATCCAAGGAGTCACAGGTTGGACCCCAAACGAATGAGACGAATTTTTCATCGCTCTCTGGCTAAAATATGTTACATAAAACAGAACCATCGGTGTTATTGTGCTGCGTACAATATATTAATAGTCTCACCGTATCCAACGGTACTGGTAATCTCGCCTTGATGTCTAGTAATTCCTCGATGAAACAGTTATATACTCCGCAATTCATATAATACATTCTAATCATTTCTTCATTCCTGAGAACTACCTTTTTCGTATGCACAAGTGACACCAAGCTATATGCCGAGGTTACATAATATTGTCCAGGTTCACTAATGATCGTGATGCTCGAATCAATGTCTTGAATGGCGTCGTTAATAAGACCAGCCAGCTGTTTCATATTTAAATCAAGTTATATTCGTTAAGCTTCGTTTAATTGAATAATATCAAAGAACGTTAAGGAAACGACTCGAGTGAACAGTGTTTCACCTTGTCAATACAGTATCCTCTGTTACCAGGAAATCCACCACCGATATCGATCAACTGAGCATCTTCGCAGCCGATCTCTCTAGCAATCGCGATTAGTCTCTTGCACATCATGATTCCTCTGACATAAGCGTTTAATTCGTTGCATGGACTGCCGACGTGAAAGCTAAAACCCCATAACGTCAAACCAACGTTCTTTATGAAATGCATCAACCGTACAGCTTCCTCTTCCTCACAACCGAATTTCGTTCCAAGTGACACCTTGCAATTCTGAGAATCGCAACGAATACGGATCACTATTCTGTTGGTCATCCAGAAAAATTATTTCGGAAGTTTATCAGCAAATTTTCTGTATCTATATAGAAGCAAATAGTCAACCTTGATCCACTTACTTCGCTTCCGGGAAAATCTCTTTGATTTTGAGGATTTCCATTATACTGTCAACTGTCATCTTTTCAACATTCATCGTCTTGGCGAATCTGATGTGAGTAGCCCACTTGGTCGGGTTTGCGAAAATGATTCGATTCGCAGGTACACCTTGCGCCATTACGATTCTTATTTCTTGCTGATGAGAATAAAAACAGAAAACGATGTGTTTGAAACGAACATCGCTGAAAGAATATCGAATTATCTGCTTACAGGGCTGATGCATCCATAGTGAACGATAACTCTGTTCACAACCTCACGAACTTCGGTGAAGTATGTCCAAATTTTTTAAATTTTATACTAACATATATTACACTAACATTTTTGTATAAAAATTTACAAATTTCGTATTTTAATATAGGCTGTTATTTATGAAATGAACCGATTAGGAATGTTGGTCGATTTATCGCATGTATCCCACAACGTTATGAGACATACGCTCTCAATAACGAAGGCCCCTATTATATTCTCCCATTCATCCGCTTTTAGCGTTTGTCACAATTACCGTAATGTTCCTGATGATGTTTTACTCATGGTTGTAAGTAATTCTTTATCGTTCTTCCAATTGCTTTGTACGAGTATACGAGATGTAATTTTGATTACATTTTCAGAAAGCGAACAACGGCGTGGTAATGGTGAACTTTTACTCAGGTTTTGTAAATTGCAATTCTTCAAGAAAAGCAACTATCCACGATGTCGTAGGTATGAACCACGCGAAATATTAGCTTTAGGTTTTATACAACCCAATTGGACTAAAAAGGAAAGATATATTTATTAATAAAATACTATTTCATTCCTTTTACGTGATAAAATCTACATGAAGTAATTACATGTATCAAATTCGCTTTTTAACGATTTATTTTTATTTGATTAGAAATAAAGATTAGAATCAAAGATTTTGAATCAAGTATCATTAATCAGTTGGCTTAAAGAGATTACGATTTTTACATAGAGTAATCATCGAGTTCCCTCCTTATAGATCACATCAATTACATTCGTAATCTTATCGGAGCGGATCACGTTGGTATTGGTGCTGATTTCGATGGTGTACTAAGGTAAATGTTATACGATATCACATACTAAAAAGGTCAAATAGTTTAATCAAAATTTGCAAAATTTGTTACAAATGTTTCAGAATGCCGGAGGGTTTGGAAGACGTATCTAAATATCCAGATCTATTCGACCTGATCTTCGAGAGTAACGTTGAACCACGATGGACCAAAGAGGAACTTGAGAAATTAGCTGGCAGAAATTTGATCCGTGTATTCCAAGCTGTAGAAAACGTATGTTAAAGAAAATCTAATCAGTAGGGTGTCCAATATGGAATATTCAAAAACCATAAAAATGTAATCATTTCTTGTACTGCGTTTTAAAAGGTAAGAGATACATTGGCAAAGACAGAGTCACCACGACAGGATATCATAGATGTAAGAGATGTCTCCGAAGCTGAAGTAATTAGCCATATTCAACCAGGTTTATGTCAGACCTCAAAAGAGTAAGTGTACTAATGTAAAACTGAATTTAAATATTTGTTTCATTTATTTATACATAATTTTATTTATGTAAACAGATGGGACGACATTAGAAATAACAGTACATCGCGACAATAACACGACATTTATTTAAAGCAAAAAATAAAATGGCTCGATATTTTACAGGTAAAATTTATTTTCATACGACACTCCAATATATAAGATCAAACTATAAGCAATAAAAATGTAAAATACTCAAAAGTTCTTACTTTTTGAATAATATAAAATGTATCTTTCATAATCTTTTTATCCCTCCCTAAACAAATATACTTACCAACAGTGAAAGTTTTAATAGGCACTTGTATAATTTATGCGGATTTATTATACAATAAATAAGTCTCTTGTTGCAATGCATATTTACAATAACCGGCGGTTGGATGAAGAAATGGATACCATATGCACATATATTTGAAAAAATATCTCAACTTTTAATATAATAATATAATGCACCACCTACGTTGAGAAAACAGTAAAAGAATACTATAATTTTATGAATGATTTTATGAAGAAACTTAAGTTCAAAATTCATAGTGCATAGATAGAACAATTACTATTATAATTACTAATTATTTAGTTTTCATCACTGCATTCTCCACTCCGTTATTCTGTGATATGGATTCCTGCGCTATACTTATACCAGCAATAAACTTTTTCCTAAAAATAAACAAACATTCAAGAGTTTACAAGAACGTTATATCATATTAATCATTGCAAATTGGCCACACATCTGTACCAACCATTGACTTATTCTCACAAATGCATGTACTTTGGGTGCTGAAAAACCATTAAAGGGAGAACTAAGGCTTATACTGTATGATCCAACGTCTCTCCAAATCAACCAATCGCCACGATGAAATTCAGGTAACAATACATCTTTCAAGATACAATCCAAGGAGTCACAGGTTGGACCCCAAACGAATGAGACGAATTTTTCATCGCTCTCTGGCTAAAATATGTTACATAAAACAGAACCATCGGTGTTATTGTGCTGCGTACAATATATTAATAGTCTCACCGTATCCAACGGTACTGGTAATCTCGCCTTGATGTCTAGTAATTCCTCGATGAAACAGTTATATACTCCGCAATTCATATAATACATTCTAATCATTTCTTCATTCCTGAGAACTACCTTTTTCGTATGCACAAGTGACACCAAGCTATATGCCGAGGTTACATAATATTGTCCAGGTTCACTAATGATCGTGATGCTCGAATCAATGTCTTGAATGGCGTCGTTAATAAGACCAGCCAGCTGTTTCATATTTAAATCAAGTTATATTCGTTAAGCTTCGTTTAATTGAATAATATCAAAGAACGTTAAGGAAACGACTCGAGTGAACAGTGTTTCACCTTGTCAATACAGTATCCTCTGTTACCAGGAAATCCACCACCGATATCGATCAACTGAGCATCTTCGCAGCCGATCTCTCTAGCAATCGCGATTAGTCTCTTGCACATCATGATTCCTCTGACATAAGCGTTTAATTCGTTGCATGGACTGCCGACGTGAAAGCTAAAACCCCATAACGTCAAACCAACGTTCTTTATGAAATGCATCAACCGTACAGCTTCCTCTTCCTCACAACCGAATTTCGTTCCAAGTGACACCTTGCAATTCTGAGAGTCGCAACGAATACGGATCACTATTCTGTTGGTCATCCAGAAAAATTATTTCGGAAGTTTATCAGCAAATTTTCTGTATCTATATAGAAGCAAATAGTCAACCTTGATCCACTTACTTCGCTTCCGGGAAAATCTCTTTGATTTTGAGGATTTCCATTATACTGTCAACTGTCATCTTTTCAACATTCATCGTCTTGGCGAATCTGATGTGAGTAGCCCACTTGGTCGGGTTTGCGAAAATGATTCGATTCGCAGGTACACCTTGCGCCATTACGATTCTTATTTCTTGCTGATGAGAATAAAAACAGAAAACGATGTGTTTGAAACGAACATCGCTGAAAGAATATCGAATGGATTAAGAAAAGCTTGTAGAAACAAAAATCTTCGTACTTCGGACGCGCAATCGAAGCTAACATTCATGGCTGCTAAGATCTTAATGAGCACTGGATCCGGGTTGCATTTGACGGCTGAAATTCGACGAAATAATAATGAATAATAATAACAATGAGTGATGAATATTAATTAGACTTTTAATTGCACTCTACCGGACGAAAATAAGAATATGGATCCTTACTGACAGGAGACGTTAACTGACAGTAAGGAAGTATTTAAATCTTTGTACGCTGCATGTCGACTGTATTACTTGGCAATAAAACATCTTGTTCAAGTAATACGTGTAGATAATAATTAACGTGGAAGATAAATAAAGAACTCTTGTAGTTACCATAATATGGAACGACTCTTGGCATCTTGGCAATCCAATTTTGATGTTTATGTATCACATCGGCAATGTCAAGAATACAGAACGGTTCCTCTGTTAACTCATGTTCCATTTTAATAATACTCCTAATTATGTCCGTGTCTTTGTCCGTATCTTCGAACAGTTTCACTTCGTTAAAACTCAAGTGAGACATTGTATTCTGTTTAATCTTCTAAACGAACTTCCCTTCACGCTGAGCTGTTTTAGAAAAAAGGAAATTGACTTCAAATAGGTCTAATCTCAGGTACAACGATAAGATCACCTTATTCTAAATATAATCACGGAATGTCTTACATTTGTTCAATGATAAGGGTTCCTAGTCGCAATGTAACGAGATCTATACGTGACACTTACAATTTGTTACAATTCGTTAAATGTCTATCTTTTCACTAATGAAAATATTAGAAGAAGCTACTGTAAATGAAAAACAACGTGTAAGAAATACGATCAACTGAATAGATCGAAGAGAATTATTTGGACCAAGAGTGACAAAATTTTAATAAAATGTTCAACCACTGACGATATTCACCTGAGGTGTCGATGATAAATCAGAGGTATATAAACCAATTAACAGTGACAATCTAAGTTTATTAAACTCGAATGAGACTGATTGTACACAAGATTTTCAACAAATTCAAAAACGGTACTTGACACGATAGATCTGAACGAGATCGAACGCTCTTATCGCACGCCCTAATCATACAATATGCATCCACTCCACGAGAGGAAATCAGATTCTGTAGAAAATTGTAGAATTGGGACAGAAGTTGAGGAACTTAAGGGAAAAAGAGAGGAAAAAGAAAGCTAGGTCTTCATTTTCATTTTATTCAACCGCTCGATACATATCAGACCCACATGAAATCTTGGAAAATCCCTTAACATCCTGTCCAAAGTAATCATCCGTCTAACCCATATAGAATGAGAGAGTAAATAAGAAGTAATTACTGTATAATTTACAAGTACACGTGCTTTTTAAACAAAATTGGAGTGAAAACAAATAAAAACCATTGCGAATGATTTTTGCAATTTAATTATTTCAGTAATTTATTCCTTTGAATGTAGCGTATAATAATTATTCATATAATAATTATGAGTCCTTAAACTATCGTGCAGAAAATGAGATCGTCATTCATCAACATTTTATCAATTGGTGTAATAAACTGCGTGTATTTAAAACACGCTTAATTTCTTGTTGTATTTGTTGCGCCTGATCATTTTATTTGTTCACGCATTGTTACCTGATGTAGACTTTACATCATTATGTACTCAGAAAGGAATCTAAATTATGATACAACGAATATATTTATATAAAAAGTGATACCAAGGAAAGATGTACATTCAGACACGTTTAAAAAAATTATTATTAAAATTACATAATACTCGCGTAAAAAATTGGTAATGTTCATTTTACGTTATTTATTATTATTTATATTAATTTTAGTTATTTTGTATTATTTATGTTATTTCAATATCCGATAAAATAGAACAATGATTATCGTTCACATTGAAACTGTAACTATAATTCGTATTTTCTTTTTCCATTTATTAAATTATGTTATATTGTAATTTTAAAAATTTATTAATACAAACATTGGAATTAGTAGTTTATTGCTTTATTTATTTTTTATTTCCTAACATAAAATAGTATTTCGTTTTAAAAGATTATTATTATTAACAATATGTAATGTTTATGATAATACAGTATAAAATGTAGAAAATCTTTAATTCTATTAGGTGACAAACAAATATTTTGTAAGTGTAAAGTAATTCTTATTGAATTAGTTTAAACGTTGCTATAAATCGTAATGTAATGTATGAAAGAACAAATTTTACATATGCCGCTAATTCTCTGTAATAGTAATAACCATCAGATGGCGCAGTAATTTGAACACTACTTGAACACACGGGAGTTTCCAAGCTTTGGTGTGATCGTCAGCAAAATGGCAGCGAGCGACTCTACCACGGACGACAGCCTTTATCCGATTGCTGTTTTGATCGACGAACTAAAAAACGAAGATGTACAGGTAATTCTAAAAGTGCTTAAGATCAGTATTTTACAATTGCAAAGCAATCGTCCTGTCGTACTGCCTACAGTCACTGGAAAAAACAGAGTGTCAAGGCGGCTATAGCGGTAGCGTACGATTCGATAGAATATTTTAGTCTCCTATGATTGTATGCTAAACATTCTGTTTTCAATATCAATACTCTTAACATTATAATCTTATAGTAATGTATTCATCGAAAACTTTATGCACTCGATTTTAATTTTGGGAACTATGTCTTCTTACTTGGAAACAAGGAAGCATTTGAAAAGATAATGAGTGAATTACAGAGAATTGACCTGTACATTTACAAAACCTTTTTTTGTTACAGTTACGGCTGAACTCAATAAAGAAATTATCTACGATTGCCCTTGCATTGGGCACTGAACGAACACGTAGCGAATTAATACCATTTTTAACTGAGTCTATGTATGATGAAGATGAAGTTCTATTAGCATTGGCAGAACAGCTTGGACAGTTTTCTCCTCTTGTAGGAGGTCCAGAACATGTAACTTGTTTACTGGTATATATTGTTTTATTCAATTGTTTCACTAGTAAAGTTATTTAAAAAATTTATATGTAATTGCAGTATTTTATACAGAGCTAAATTCAATATATAAATATTAAATTAATCTTTTTTTATTATAATAAAAGAATATTTAAAAAATTCTAATTATGACTCATATCGAGTATATATTTTAGCAAATCATGTTTGA